GTCATGATCCTGATCCTGCAGGAGGAGACTGGTTCTCACTGCATGAGAGCCTTGGATGCTTTGGGGGACATCGTGATAGCCACTCGGAAACTCAGTGTGCTCGTGGTTGTCATCTGGGTGACAATATCGGAGTAGATTATTGACTGCTTTCTAGTTGACAGTTTGTAGAGTCCACTTTCATTCCATCTGCAGATTTCTTGCAGATTCGTAGCACTTCTGTGTTATACCTTCTCATCTGTTTTGGAAGCTGGGCACCCTTGTTAGGTTCAAACACGGCACGGACATCCCATGCCCCCATGTTTACTTTCGCATTCCTCGACAGAAGACATTTGGTCCGGCTGCTTTTCCTAGGGCTATCACTATCTGGAGTGGTTTTCTTCTCCTCGATTCCAGAGAAGAACAAGTTTGTTTTCATTTATATGTTCTCTTTGTGCTTTGAAGTTTCTTTGGCGATTGGACTGCTTTTGCGGGGGAGGGTTGCTAGCCCTACGCCTAACCTTTCCTCTCCATCCTGGCTTATGACGGGATCGTACCTAGTGAACTGGTTAACCAGGCAAGGCTGGTATCTGGATATGCATTCAAAAATGTTTAGCCAAATTAAGGGAACCCAATCTTAAGACCAATACTCTAACGCAAAAATTATCGGTATTGTATACCCCTAATGTTGGTGTTAGCTGTTTAATGGTAAACATCTCAAGGTCGTCTCCCCTTCTTTTGACTTGGTTGTCACGGACGCCAAAAGGAATTAATTGGTTCTGCTTTAGGATTTGTCCTGGTGCGAACTTGACAGACGCAAAGACCAATCACTAATTATTCGAACTTGTTATATACCCACGAATACGAGACCAAGGTAGAACACGATAGCGTAGTCGGATGGAATAGTATATTTGGATGGTTATGCCAAAATACCGATGCGTTCCAACTAACTGGCTAGAGAGTCGAATACGAGCAATGCAACGTAACACGACAGCGTGCCAAATGGCCAGGATGCTTGACCGGGTGCCTTCAGCTTAGCGAGTCCAGTTAAACTATCAAGGTCAGCATCGATGTCGAAAGTCGTCAAACCCTAGGCTACTGATTTTGGGGAAGTGTATGACGCTACAGATCACTCCCCCCCTAGTGGGTTCGTGAGGACCCTAAGACGATACCAGCCGGAAGTAAAAACCCAGTGGTTTCTCCACTGGTAAAACTCTTCCGATGGGCTGACTGCGTGAGGTGGCCCCTGGTTGTCTGAACCTTATTCTAGGGTGTCGTGGCGATTAAATAAATAAAATACAATAAATGGAATTGTACGTCGGTCGCGGTCATCTGTTCCTTTCGACGTTCCGTCCAGTGCTCGTTGCACCTGGAATATAAATAAAAGTCTTTAATACCACGAAAACGTTGCCTAAAAATGGGAATTATTTATATATCAACATATCGAAAAATAAAAATTTACGCTTATCTTTACCGTTTTTTTTAAAAATTTCATTACATGGTAAATAAAAATTGATATAAAAAGGCAAAGTATACGAGGGTTTGTATTGATGTATCGGGTAGGAGTCCGGAGTTGTTTTGGCGTTGAGCCTTCGGTAATCACCGGTTGGACGCCAGTCACTGCTATCCTTTTGGGAACCATGTGCAATGGCGATGCCCAAGGATTGTTCGACGGTCTGATAATGCCCAGGTCGAGCATGTGGTCGAATTCATTTTTCGCCGTTTGGAGCTTATCGGGGGCTAGACGGCGCGCTTTGGATGCCACAGGTGGACCTGTGGTTGTGACGTGATGCATAACATTGCTGGTTATGCACGGAAGAGTGTGCTTCGGTTGCTGTAACTCTGGATATTTCTCCAGAACTGCCTGGTAGGACGCGTCGTCTGATTGTTTAGTCCTAACGATGGCTAAACTCGGACCTACATAGGTGGTGCCGCCAATGGATAACTTTGTGCTGTTATCTATCAGTCGTCGACGGCGAGCATCTACGAGTAGATCGTAATGGTTTAGCAAATCTATGCCAATGATGGGCATAGAGACGTCTGCCAGGAGGAAAATCCAGTGGATAGGTTTGCGTAAACCTAAGTTGAGGTAGGCATACCGTCTCCCGAATGTCGCGATTGCCTTGCCGTTGGCTGCTTGAAGATTGAAGGATGGGTCAAGATGACGCTCCTTTGTCGTTGCTGGAAGAATGCTAACTTCTGCGCCGGTGTCGACGAGGTAGCGGACTTTCGTTTTAATATCCGTGACGTAGAGCAAACGGCTTTTTCGGCCGGCTACGGTTGCCGTGAGCACGTGCCGGCGTGACCGTTTCCCGAGTTCGGGTCCTTCTTAAAACGGCATGGTTTACGACATTTTCTGGCTTCATCCCCGTAAGTGTTATGAAACCAGCACCATTCAGGGTTTTCCACCCTGTTGGGTTTCGTTTTAGGGCTACCACACGACTTGCTGCGATGCGCCAAGGTGCGTTTCCGTGAAGTGCTACGTGATCTAGGACTTCGAGATCGTAGCAACCGTCTCACAGAGTTGCACAACTTGGTCACCTCTGAATCCTGGCGCTCTGTTTTGTCGCAGATAGAATATACGTTGGAGACTGGTCTGCTGGATATCTCCAGTATTTTATCTGCTGAGGCTGCCAGGTCGTCGAGTGGGACTGACTGGAGTGTCACCAACACGGTTTGCACCGGTTGTGGTAGTTTCGAGAGAAATAGTTCTCGGAAGAAACCATCGTCAAATGTTCGTGCACCGATTACTTCTCGCATGCGTGCGAGGACTTCAGTAGCTGAGTGGCTGCCTAGCTCGATGTTACGAAACAATTCGTCTAGACGTTGGCGATCTGTGAGATCGCTTTTCTTCAAGAGTGCGGCCTTTAGAAGTGCATAAGGGTCACTTACTTCAGGATTAAACATGTTTGCTGTAACATACCTGTTTAATTCTCGCGGTAATGACCGTATGACAGCAAGAAATCGAGAATGAGGATCTGAGACACCCTGTCCTCGAAAATCTGCCTCGGCATACAGAAACCATGTTTCTGCATTGTCTGGCCAATATGGCACGAGTTGGATCGTGTTCGTAGTCGACTTAATACGAATAAGCTTGGGAGTGTGGTCGGACATGAGAAAGTGTAGTAAATGGATATATAAATGTTATCGAAATGAAAACAATAAACAAATATAAAATGGAACAGGCTCACCAATTCAATACTTGTTATTGGTCGGGATATGTGATCACGTCGGGCTCACTAATTTAGGATTTGTCCTGGTGCGAACTTGACAGACGCAAAGACCAATCACTAATTATTCGAACTTGTTATATACCCACGAATACGAGACCAAGGTAGAACACGATAGCGTAGTCGGATGGAATAGTATATTTGGATGGTTATGCCAAAATACCGATGCGTTCCAACTAACTGGCTAGAGAGTCGAATACGAGCAATGCAACGTAACACGACAGCGTGCCAAATGGCCAGGATGCTTGACCGGGTGCCTTCAGCTTAGCGAGTCCAGTTAAACTATCAAGGTCAGCATCGATGTCGAAAGTCGTCAAACCCTAGGCTATTGATTTTGGGGAAGTGTATGACGCTACAGATCACTCCCCCCCTAGTGGGTTCGTGAGGACCCTAAGACGATACCAGCCGGAAGTAGAAGTCATAAAACGTGAAGATTTATATCACAGGCGAAAAATGTAAAGGCCCACCTAGCTATATATGTGCCTTTTAACATTTGGAAGAGCAAGTGCACTAAGATAGCAGCTGAAATTACAAAAATAATACGGATCACTTGAAACAGATCAAAGGCACAAAATATGAACACAGTCATACAGTCAATGCATGCGCAAGAACTACTGACTAGACCAATTACTAGGACTGCACAGTATGGCATTGTGAGGCAAACTGATCCCAAGTTAATGGGACACAAAGAGAATTACAAAGAATCTGGGAATAAAGGGGACTATACACTGTACACATGAGGTCATATGAAATATTTTCAGGAAGAGCTAAATCACGGATGAGGGTTTGTGGGCATTCGCTTTCCTAAAACTAAATTACCTCCTGATTGTTGCTGTCCAGAAGCGGGACCATGAATAACATTGATTTGAGAAGCGTGACTGGATGGTGTGTTTATCGTCGTTACATTTGCGCCTGAAGTAATTGGAGACTGATGGTTTGTGTACGTTTGAGGATTGCTCAACGAATGTGTGTGATTAAACATTTTCTGGACTGCAAAGCCGGAGATATCAGGGCCAATAGTCAAGGTAGGGACTGTCCCAAAAGCTGTAGGGAACGAGTGCGATGAAGTAACTGAATACAGCGCTCCGTTACCACTTGCGTTATTAGGGACTGATAAGCTCGAATGAGCTTGTGTGAGCGCCACATAGGGTTGGTAAGGGTGCGCTGATACAATACCACCGTTGGCAACAGAACCTGCGTTGAGCGGAATCCACATTCCACTTGGATGTGTGGGAATAGAACGGTTCAAAAACGAATTATTGCCTGGTGGACAACTGATAGCAGTAGGAGTGAAATAAGCGTTAGTTTGACCAGGATGAGCACCTGGAATAAACTGAAGGAAAACAGCCGAATTAGGAGCACCACCAGTGATGTTGCTAGGGTTACCGACGGAAGGTACATATGTCCCGACAAAAGGGGCTGTATTACCTGGAGTGGCAAGACGATACAATGCGGATATGAAGGACGCTGTGTTCGGGTTCGTCGGAGGTAAGGTTGAAGCATTCGGTCCTGAAGCCAACAAACTACATTGATTTGCGGCTGCTGCTACAAGTGCAGCAGCTTGTTGCTAGGAGTATAGTTGAGGGGAGGGTTGCTAGCCCTACGCCTAACCTTTCCTCTTCATCCTGGCTTATGACGGGATCGTACCTAGTGAACTGGTTAACCAGGCAAGGCTGGTATCTGGATATGCATTCAAAAATGTTTAGCCAAATTAAGGGAACCCAATCTTAAGACCAATACTCTAACGCAAAAATTATCGGTATTGTATACCCCTAATGTTGGTGTTAGCTGTTTAATGGTAAACATCTCAAGGTCGTCTCCCCTTCTTTTGACTTGGTTGTCACGGACGCCAAAAGGAATTAATTGGTTCTGCTATCCGATAGCACATTCTTTCGTGCTAATATACCACGACAAATGTTGACACAGGCGCTCCATCAGAAATAAATGGTTTCAGGCAGTGGTCCGATACCAACGATAGACTTGGAAAACTTTGAAGACCCTCAGTTTAGAGATTCTAAGTATGTCCTGACAAGTCCGAAGTCACTAGAAGCATGTTCACGTCTGAGAATACCTGTAACAAACATTACTTTTAAGCTTTATTTCTAGCCTGTTGATCTTCTATACAAAAGCAGGGCGGAATTTCTTGAACGTTTTAAGAAACTTCCGCCTAACAAAATCGATGAGTTATACATAAAAAGCGAAGAACAGAGAAGAGGTACAGTATTGATCTCCCGTTGTATGTTTAGATAAGCTTTCAAAGGCAAGATTAGAAAGAATTAGATTGATAAAAAATGAAAAGTTTATGAACGATAGCACTTCATTTTCAGAAAATCAACCAATAAATGGTGAGTTTTCAGCGCTCTTAAAGATTATCTTATTGACATAGATAAATGTGAAATCTCACAATCAACAAGGTGAGAACTAGTTTTATTTGTTTGGTACATTATATATATATATATATATATATATATATATATATATATATATATATCTTCTTAGTGATCCCTGTTATATGACTCGAAAGTTCAGAATTAGGTCTCAAAATTCCAAATAACTTGATTATATCCTCGTAGTAGATCTCATAATCAAGAGCCAACCTCTCTTTGAATACGTCCAACAAAAGAGCTGATATCTTTTGTTCGGATGAGGAGATCCAGTTGTTGACCACTATGTGGAAGAAGCATAAAACCAAGCTAAGTTGATTTGTTCTTGGTTATTTTATTCTTTTGTGGTGAGTTCAAGGGAGATGAAATAAGACGTATAAAACACAGGTTTATCGTTAGGAATACAGAATGCTAATATTAGGTTTTCTGTTCTCCTGTAATAAGACAACGCAGAAAGATTTTGTTTTTGTAAATGATTCTCATAGGATATGTTCGGATAGACCAACCATCAAGTTGGTGCCAGATGTTTAAGCGTTCTCCATTGCTTCGTCATCCTTTTTGAAGCAGGACATGGCCAGTTGAATGCAATATTCGAGATTAGGTGGCACAAAAGTGGGTTACAGTAACCAAAACATGTCTCTATCGAAGCATTTGAATGCTCTACGAAGAGATCACAATGCTTGTAACCTTTTGGCCATGGCCTCAGTTCAGTTCGCAGACGTTCAAAAGCTTTAGCTGACTACAACTCTCAAGTCTTTAATTTCTTAGATTTCAGGTTCTGATGCCTCATCAGATACTGATGGCAGATGCTATGACCAGTATGCATTACTCCACATGTGCTGGACCCGATATCTAGGTATCAACCCCTGAACAAATTGACTATTGGATTTAGGTCTGTTTGTAGTGCATATCTATCTTCACAGTTACGGGTGACCTTCCATGTTTTCACATCATTGGTAAATAATAATAAAGGTGCTGATAACGTCCGGGAGTTCATTGACGTAGAACAAAAGAAGGAGAGAACCCAAGATTATTCCTTGTGGGACGTCACTGCTTATAGGTTTTCACTAAGACAGTGTTTCATTCAATTTGTCTCTTTTTCATCTGTCTCATAGAAATTCTATAGTCCATGCCTGCAATGAAGTGTCACATCCAAAACTTAGAAGTGTTTTCATTAAACCAACGTGAGAAACCTTATCGAAAGCCTTTCTAAAGTCAATGAACACAACATCTACAACCATCTTGTTGTCATGAACTGCTACCCACTCTTCTCGAGCTATGATGAGGTTGATAAGGCCAAATCCATGCAGAAATGGGAGAAGACCATAGGTTTTGACATGACTTAGCATTCTATCTCTGATAAACCCGAATACTTTAATATTTATAGTAGTTAAGCTAATGGGACAATAATTCTGCATCAGTTGTCTACTGTTTGCCTTGAAAACTAGGCTGATGACAACATCTTTCTAGTCTCACAAAACAGAGCCTGACATATAGATATAGTCAATGGCTGAACAGTGACCTGGGGACTATTTTCAGCCAAAAAGGGTGATAACATTGGGAATTATGTAGCTGTCGCTCAAAATGAATCTTAAATTTCTAAGCCAAGTCAGGCGGTTGATAATAAAAAACAAGAAGCTTCCGAATTCTTACAATTAGGCTATAGTTTCTGTGTCTAGGAGAAGTAGACTACAAGCTCTTCTGGATGTTAACCTATGGACAAAACAAATGAAGAAAAACGGATGGTGCTTTAATAAGAAGAACGAGTTAGTTGTCAATTAATTCACTCCTACATTGTAACTAGGCCTTAAGCTGGTGTCTAAAGTATTTAGACGAAGTATCCTGAACCACATTTACTGAGGCCATCCCAAAACTTCACAAATCTCAGAGAGTATAACTTCCACACTGCGTCTAACCTGTCTTTTCCTAAGTCAAACTTCTGTATTTCATCAAAATAACTTGTTGAATAGATCAAACTACTGCTTGCCAACAAAGATAGGCTTTTATCTGTAACTGGACGAAAGGAGTTGTGGGTGTTCAAGACAAAAGTGAGGAATAAAGTTTGTCTAGTGTATGATGAATTTCAGTATAGACCGGGACCGAATTTTTCACTTTTCGATTGAATAACTTTTATTTCTCGTATCACCTGAATTCACTATTACATCCTGACAACATTTGGACTGGTATTTAGGATGTAACCGCTTTATGACTGAAAAATCAAGGTTTTGATCTCACCGAACCTAAGAATAACATTTAATTGTAATTGGCGTAGTTAGTGCTATAAGCTTTAATCTTCCATTATTGCATGGAAGTCACTTTTTTACGTCGCTGAGATACGCCTACTCATTCTGAGCTGAAAACTAGATTAGGCTCACCTGTAGATTAAAAGTTTATAAACTTATTCACCATTGTTTTTAGAACGGTTAGTCGGTTGTTTATGTCCTACGCAATACTGTTTACTGTTTTCATGAGGTTATCACATATTATGCATTCGTGAACTTGGTTCCAAGATTGGTATTCACATTTTGAAAACTTAACGGAAATCAGATTTTATACTCAATCTTGAAAAGTGATTGGTGCAACTGTTTCCAGGAAATACAACAGATCATAGCCTTTTGAACGAATTGGGTGCTTTGTTTCTATACTTATTTAAAAAAGCATCGACGACATACAGTTTGCTTCCTAGTGCCACATTCAGTAATCCAGGTCTGGACCTGAAAATGGTGAAAAATTGGAAGCGAAAGTGCCAGTATACAGTGCCTTTAAAAATTGATATCATTGCTAGTTTTAGTCAGCATGCATAAGTAATCAACTGCAGGCAAAAAAAGCTTTTAAGGTAATCAGGATGAGTGAATCACATTAGACAAATGGCTTACTGCTACAATCAGGAGTCATGAGGTTCTAGATTTATGTTTCTCTAGACTACATCACCCAGTTTACGAATTATTTTCAGTTTTAAGGAAATTTTTTAAAATGTTCGTTATTATTAGGCAAACTATTCGTATAATGGGACACAAAGCTGTACGCTTTCAACAATACAGTCAGGTGTTATCTCATTTACAGCAAATACAATATTGGCGTTCTTGAATTCATTTGGTAAAAATCTAAGCTGAAATGCTTCACTACTCTCTGTAAAAGCTGTTGTTTAGTTACACAAATCATATGCGTTTCTTCATAGAAGCATAAAAACTAGTTTCGTCCAACTGTATTGATGATAACTTGAAAAGTCAGTCCTAAATTCAGTCAAGTAGCAGAGCTGATTTTGCAGTCTTGAACTCTTCCAGTTTCTGCACTTATCCGATTTATACCATTCTTGGTAATAAAGTTAATGAATGCTCAATCGTCTTTTGTTAAGACGTAAAGTGTCTCTCTCTGCTTTTTCGGATCATTCGTTCTTTACAAAATCTCATTCATTCCATTAGTTAACTATTTTATGATTAAGCACTGAAGTTCCCTTCATTTCAAATGGCTTTTATCTACTCTAACTCCGTGATTTCTCTTCTTTTAGTTAGTGCTTTATATCAACAAATCAAACTGATATCTCTGGTTCGTTTTGAAAACTAAATTTAAAAACAGCGAAATATTCATTCCACTCTATAAATATTTATTTATAGTTTTGAGTTGTACTCTTTATGAAATAAATGATACTTGAATATACAAAGATAATCTGAATCAGTATATTAGAGAAAGTTACGTGCAGTACATATTTAACTGGTCTGATCATTTAACCAGAGATATTGACAGTTGAAGTTCTTTTTAGGCAGAATTACGTTTTATTGTCTCATAATATCTGAACTTACTTACATTTCCGAGCCATCTGACAAGCAATTATCCTGTCATGTATCATTACGTATATCGTGATCTAAGTAAAATAAGAAATTTGAACATATACTCCCAGTCCTCGCATTGTCACACAACTACTAAACGGACAACATACCGCTTTTGGTTTGGACGACAGTTTGTGAGGATTTTCAAGCGCTTGGTAGAATTTAATGATAATACTGATAACAATGATAGTTGTGTATTTGCTTTATTCCGCACCATAGTTATGTTTACAGTACGGAATTCTCAGCGCGTGTTATCAATTCACCCATAGTATAACACTTTTAAAACATTAACAATAGTTCTGTTTGACAATATATAACAAAGAGTAACGAATAACAGGATAGATGAAATGAATAATGACTTCAGGGACATGATAGCTGTTTGCTACTAAAAAGTTGATTGATAAGACTATGTCTAACAAGATTTTTTCTACACAATACATAAGCTAAATAAGGTATGGTTCAATTGTTGTATGTGATTGTGCGTTCATAGAGTTTAATACATTTGCTTCTTGTCTTCCCAGATGACAGACATGGAGAGGGGTGTGGATGTAGAAGATGCTTGTCATCAGATGATATATTTTTAGCCAGTAGTCTACAAGAGTTCAGATTCCTACCCACGACTGCATTTATTAGCTAGATTAAGGGTGTGCAACTTACTACTACTAATAGCATTCAAAAGCGTACGCAATACAACTGCGTCTTTTTTCTGGAGTCCAGGAAAGAATAAGATGGAACAATAAGTAACTATAGGTAAAACACAGGAATTAATGAAACTTAGGAGTAGAGGCTGAGTTATGCCAGACAGTCTAAGTTTCCTAATATAAGTGGTCAAGCAAAGGATCTTCCTGGAAATCAGTAAGATATGACGGGACCAAGAAAGATCAGAAGAAAAGCTTAAACCATGTTGGACAACTCTTGCTACATTCTCTATAGCACAGCCATCTATCAGACAACAGTCATTGGACTGAAGCACTGTACAAAGGTCTTTTTTATGTCTAAAACTAAAATTAACCATCTGATATTTTAAGGGGTTGAATGTGAGGCCATTTAAGGAAGATCAGTAACCAATTTTCTTTAAGAAGTTGTTAAACTGAGAACAATCAGAAGAGGAGATGATCTGCATGGACACTTTCAGGTTATCAGCATACTTAACAAAGTTAACTTTAGTTGAAATGGTAAGTCATGCAAAAAGAAAGAGAAAAGGAAGGGAGGAACAACAGCACCTTGAGGCACATAGGCTTCAATAAGCAGTGACGCAGAGCGTTCCCCTCTATGTAAAGTGCAGTGTCTTCTCAGAAAAATATGAACCAAGCCAGTTTATAATCCAGGACTCAATGCAAGTACTGACGAGTTTGTTTAATAAGAGGGGTCTAGAGATAGAGTCAAAGGCAGATCTAGCATACCTAGCAGCAAAGCAGTGTATTCTAACCTCATTACTTATCCAAGCGGGGAAAAACTTGAAGTGGGCGGTATATGCACTTCTATAGATTGTGTTTAATAGGCTGTTAAGGGAGTTAGTGAGGTCACTATCACAGAACCAGAGAACAACGCTAAACGGACTAACTGAAAGACTGCCGATATACAGTTGTGACCAAATGACAAACACTATGAATCAAAACCTAGAAATGCAATCAACACCACATTTCCTATATCCTGAATAATACCTTTTCATAAAAAACTCTTTAGTAACTCAAACCAAAGTGGACAAATACCCGTCAAATATAACTTTCACCTGCATTTACTAGCCTACGTGTACTTGCAAAAGAGGAGGAAAGGGGAACAGGTTCCATCATGCTATACTCAACCGATTCCAAGGAATCTGAACCCAAAAGGTAACAACAGCATAATATATTATCTATTGGATACAAGGCATGCTATGGGGGTCAAAAATACGTTCAATGTAATAGATAAACAATGCAACTCCACTTTACTTTGCGGAGATCAATGGAATGAAATGGTCGAAATTTGACATTTGGAGGGAGAAAAAGTCAATCACTTTGACAGCAATGTTAACAACTCTACCCTTCTTCTTTCGTTGTGATTATTGCGATAAAACCGTATTCGTTTGAACTCAGGTCTCTTCTTCCTTTCCTATTGCCAGGATATGTTCACGTCATTGTTGTGCGATATGATTCATCACCAAATTATCCCGAAGTTTTCATTTCAGTTAACTGTAAAACTTACTGTTTGTCCCAGGCTTGGAAAGTGGTGATAAGCCCCCTAATAACAACCATAGGGAGTCAGTATGGCTCATATGGCGTTCAAGATTCTGGGTTCAGAATTATCTGGCACCTAAACGGAGCTCAAAACCAGGAAAATCCAAGGAAACCAGTCAGGTTTAAAAACTGGTCTTGAATGTATGTGCCGACCCGATACTTACCCTCTTCCAGGTTCTGGAACACAGGCACAATTGCCTGTGCCTGAAACTGGCTGTATTTCTCACTCTGAAGGCAGCGACCGGCTTCGTCGATCGAAAGGTCTTATGGCAATGTCACTCACCGAAAGGCATGCCGGGTAAGTACAGCACTCTGTTGAAAGCTCTGCAATTGAACACCCATGGTCGTGTTAGGGCTTATGTTGAATTATCAGGTAAGTTATGTAGGAACGGTGTCTCTCAAGAGTCTCCACTCTATTCTTATTCAACTTCATTATAGAAGTCCTTATGGAGGTTTCCCTCTTACTGTCTGGCTGCACAGTGATTGATCTTGTTAAATGAGAATCCTTGGTCGATCTAGAGATGATACTGACAAGATATAGAGTCTTCTGGACACGTTAAATGGGAATCTGAGAATAATTGGGATGTGCTTCTCGCCACCTTTGCGCAAATTGTTGCTTCAGAATGATCTTCAGCGGTTCTCTATCTAACAATAGAAAGTGAAATGGTTGAATGCGCTGAGCACTTCACTTACCTGAGAAGTCAGTGGTCAAAAGCTCCACTGGATTTTGCTAACCTGTGTCATTTATGGTGTGGCCGTGACATCTGATTACCTAATAAGGTTAGAATGTACTGCACTTCAGTTCACCCTGTTTTACTGGAAAGCTGTTAGAAGTGGGTAGCAAAAGTGAAAAACATGAAAAGTCTTCAGATATTCGATTACTTTCGCCGTGTGTGGTATCGCCATGTCAGTGAAACAAGAGAGGAAATTCAGTTTCTGAAATTGTGAACCTTCATCGACTCAGGTGGCTGAGAAATAAGTTTCTGGTGTATAATGACCGTCTGTCCAGTTATGCACTGTTAGCATAATCGGGTTCAGGCTGTAAAAGGCTTAGAGGCGGCCAGACTAATGAAATGATTTGACTGTTTGTTTGTGCCGTGTATTGAAATGTAAGCTAACCAGTTGGAATCCATGTGACAACCAAAATCGATGGTTAGAGACGCTTGCTGATAAGGCTAAGAATCTATCTCTGCAGTGCAGATGTATCCACACTATCTTCATCATAATCGTCATACTGAACTTAGCTACTTTTTATTCTCTTTTTATTACTTTCTACGACTTTTCACTAATTGCTTGATTCTTTCCTTATCTTTGATATCAGGGCATTTTTGCTGAATGCTCTGAGATAAGGTGTGGCAGCTTGAAGTAATACTCAGTAGTGCCAGGTCTCATGTTGATACTGATCTGACTTGACTCTACATAACAAATAAATACTACTCCTTTGTCTTAGAGAACTGCTTAAAAACAGTTTTACTACTGCCTTATCATCAGCTAAGTCCTAAATTTTGAGGTTTTTTGACATCGATCTTAAATGATGGTTTTATTAACTTGTAACCAGCTGAAGTACACTCAATGATGTTGAAGCCGTCGGATTCTGCAAACATTTACCTCAAGCCTTATTTAAACTACGCAGTTGCACCAAATACCTGAAGTTATTGGGATTTTTTTGCTGCTTTTAAAGAAGTAAATTCAATTCATTCCTCACAGAGAGTCTAGAAGACTGTATAACTTATTACCGAATATATTTTTAAGTAACTATATTTTTCTAACTGTTATCGAAATATCTGCAACATTTTTCTGAAATCTTAAGATTTGTTTTGCTATAAAATAGGTTGTTTAAAAATTTAACCTTATTATTCTAAAGTATTCACTAAAACCCTTTTATCTTCAGAAATCTATTCGCCCAATCATCATCTAGAAATTTTGAAAAAATCGCCTATTTTACACCACATCTTAAAGAAAGGTATTCAGAAGTAATTGAGAAGTTACAACCAGCAGTAAGTTTAACATTTAAGTAACATACAGTCCTCTGAATATTAACAGGTTCAAAACTGAATCTTTAAATTTTAAACTAAACGGATTTATATGATTAGCCTAATTTTACAGTCTGATTTGTATCACTTTACCAAACGTCAGTGTTAGGAATTTTTATTCAGTGGGCTTTTTAAACCATTTAGAAACAGTCAGAGCATGTTCATTGTAAAAAGACATATGTATTTTAAGGTTAGCGATATTTTGGAGTACATGTGAACAGCTCTTGATAAATATAGTATCTTACCTTTTCCATCTAGAAATCTTGTGACTGAACAAATAATCTTTGTTTATTTCATGCAGTCTACCTCTTTTCAGACCAGTTTTAATAGCGTATTTGATGGTCGTTTCCTGTCTCTTAGTCTATAACAAGAGCTTCATGAAATATAACCTATTTTAGTTTAAGATTAATGCGAGCTAGTTGGTTGTTTTTGTTTGAGATACAGTACTATAACCAACGAATATACGCATTAATATTTTGTTTTTAATGGAATTAGTATTTTTGTAATGCATACTCGTTTTCATATTTATTCTTTTCTAACAGATTCAGATTTTTTGTTTGAGGATAGAAAGCTGTGAGCCTACATAAGTCCTCTCCCAGTAGATTTCTGTGCTTGTCGAATCCTCTTTCGAACAAGTCGCTTGATGATACGGACACCACTTCTTCTGGGAGCCGGTTCCAGAGGTTGGCCACACAACGTGAAAACCGGTGCTCTGCGGAGACTATGTTCGTCCTTTGCTTTTGTATCCTCCTTCTGTGTCCTCTGAGGTGTCTCGACCTAGTGGGAATGAAAATAGGAGATAGATTAGGTCCACAGTCATTTCTTAGAATCTTGTATAGCATGATAAGATCTCCTCTCTGCCTGAGACAGGATAAAAAGAAGCGGTTCAGCTCCTCAAGTCGAGCTTTATAGGTGAGGCCAGCCATCGCATGGATCATATGAGTGGCTGCCCTCTAAAGTTTTTTAGAAGGTCTGCATCACATTTCAGACAAGGACATGCCGCCTGTTTACAGTTTTCTAATTTAGACCTAACTAAGGCAGTGAACATATAACTACTTTATTTTGTAAACATTTTGTTTCATGCCTAAAGTATCCTAAAACTCCGAGCTGCTACCAAGCGACAGCGTGCCGTAGCTCTCAAATCATAACTCACTGTGACTCTTATGTTGTTGTGGGTCAGTACTGACTGTAGAAGAGTCCCATCAATATCATAGGCGTTGACATCAGTGTAAAACAATTTCGGTAGTGTACTCTTTAAGTATAAACTGTAAAAATGTACTTATGAGAAATGAAATAGATTTTCATTGTTCACACGAATATAGTTGCAGAGGAAAGTGAGAATTTCAGCTAGGCTAAATACTCAGTTTATCAGTAATTTCCGGTTAATTTCCTCTGATTCCTGATAGATAAGCAGTCTGAAGTGGGGATTTAGAGGGCGTATTTTAACACTGACTTATGAAGATGGCTATCTTTTCAACAAGAAACATCATTCAAGATGGAGCATGTATATTTTCACTTGTGAACCTGTCTCTAACAAAAGCATGATGTTTGTGAGTCAAAATTTTAAATACAACCTTGCGAAATGTTTTTATTGCTTAAGAACGATAATGAAGAAAATGTCTTGTTTTCAACTCAACAAATACTTTTCAAATCTCATATATTTGACTACATTAATAATTTCGAAGGAAATTCAATCAGAAATACGACTGACATCAGTTGGAGAACCAGTGAAGACCTGAGAGCACTGGATGGCTGTTTCGTCCTAGTAATGTATAGTGCTCATTGGTGACATGCTGCAGGATGGACATTCCGAAGTTCGAACGAGGAGTATTGACCTGTGGGGTCAACTAGTCGGAAGTGAAATAGATGCTGAATAAAGACCTTGGACGATAGTCATGCTATATCACGAGTTGAACCATTTAACTCCAACGTAGCAGCTGAATGGTTAAGGCGTTCGCTGTAAGAGTTGAAAGTCCAGAGTTCGATCCGCAGTGGAATCATAAGTGTGTACTGCTGAGGAGTCCCATACTAGGACGAAACAGCTGTTCAGTCCTCTTGGTTTTTCAATAGTGTTCCAACTGATGGCAGCCCGTGATGAATACTACCTTAGAAATAAAATCTGCAAAATATATTTTATTTTGTATTTCCTCATTGATTGAGAATAGTCCGAAAAGTCAACAAATCATTCACAACAACAAGAACATACCATACTTCGAATATGTCGAAAAAGGGTTATCATGGTTCGCAAAAAACAAGGAAAACGGTTTAGTGATTAGTAGATAAAATAAAGAAAACAAAATGACGAATCATGATTGAGATTAATGATTGTTAACACCTTGTCCGATAGAAAAATTTTGATTCAAAGCATTTTTCTGATGCAAATATTTGTACAGTCCTAACTGTACTAACTAACTGGATATTATAAATCAGAAGTGATATAGAAGTTCTTGAAGGCATTGAAATCCTTTCAGACGAAGATCAGTCAATTTTTAACACTATGAAGAATCTAATAGTTAGGGTGAAGTAGGTTTTCAGTGCTCTGTCATTTCCAATTTCTGACTAAATGGTGTTAGAAATTAGTGAATTCAATGAACCTAGATAATGTTAATTAAAAATACTTATATTGTCAAAGATGCATTTGGTGGTAAACTTTTTAATGCCTAAAATGGAATTGCTTAAGATGTGCTAACTTCAAACTTGGATCTATATTATTCTCATTTTCCATGTGAATATCTTTCTTCTTCTGTGACACTATACAATTTTTCAACTTTAACAACGGCACTTCTGTCCATTTTAACAACCATAGTGTATAGCTTTATCCTCCTGATTGACGTAAACTGATGCCTAAAATCGAATATGCTATTCAGAGAAACATACAAAAAAGTATCAAGGAAATATATTTTTAAAATCCCAGAGAGATAACAAAGCAAATTCCTGACGTTTCGTAACCTCATGGAAGTAGCTTCTTCAGAGAATATCGCATTTCTAAATAGTAAATAGACAGAAATCAGATAACATTGTTCTCTGACTTTCACGAGGTCGTAAAACGTCAGAAATTTATTTTGCTACCTCATTAGGATTTTACTAATATCACTTCCTTTATAATCTGTTTACCGAACGCTCAACTTATTCAACTCTGTCCGGTCAAATTTCTATTCTGAAGTCTATAATTTCAAAAAGTCTTTGTCATAACTTATCTCTTATATCTTTTTACTATCATTTTGACTATCTGAGATAGCCGTAGTTTGACAGACTGATATTTATACTGGGTGATGATTGAAGGTGAAGTGAGAATTTGGACCGTGGCCGGGTTCGAACCAGCGACCACCGAGTTTCCGGCCAGATGCTGTACCAACTGAGCCACGAGGTCCGACTGCTGGTCAGACTTTTATTTCAACTTAGTCACGGTGGTAGAGCATCGGGCCGGAAACCCTATGATCGCTGGTTCAAATCCGGCCATGGTCCAAATTTTCATTTCACCTCCAATCATCATCCAGTATAAATACTAGTCTGCAAAACCACGACCATCCCAGATAGTCAAGTGATATTCACTTTAACATTCTCCCTCTCTAATTCAGTTAGATTTGGATTGGCATGAGAAGTCCTGACTAGACAGTCAGTGTGAATACGACCAAGCGGGAGTAATGCCTTACGAATTCACATGGTGGTCGGGTAACACCCATGGGGATTGAAGTGAAATAAAAATATTTTTATCTTTTTTATCTACTGAACTATACAAAAGCATTTTGTAATTATCAGGTGGTAGGAATTTCAGATTTCTATAGAATTACAAATACTTTAATAGCCTTCAATCACAAATTACTAACCACCATTATTACCTCATACTACAGAGCAAGTTAGAACTCAAAGTGGGAAGTGATTACTAAAGTGGAGGGGAAAGCTATTAAGCAACTGTATTAGTCTTACTCTCTTTGTATGGTCAATAACGAGGCTAAAATCAAAATTATTTATCACATTATTCAACCGTCAGCTGGTTGTGAAACACATCCAGTATGATAAAATACCAATTGTAAATCACTTAACTGCAATCAAAGAGAAATTGCTGCTCTTTATATCATTCAGATATATTAACTTACCCCGTATTTGAAAAATAGCCCAGCGTTTCCCCGCAAAAATGTTGACTGGGTTGTAGAGTGTATTTTCGATCCACTGTGAAAACTTTATTGTTGTTGTTTTTATAGCCTACTATGGTTTTATTTATTTAACTTTAAAACACTGAGCACTTTATTTTGTTTCTAAAGGAACTTAAACGAATTGAATTAATTCAGAATAAATATCAACGCGATAAAATTAGTTATCCTGCTACTTCTGGTTGCTTATCAAGAAGTTTACAGAATCTCGTTCTCACTGGTCAGGTAAATATTAGTCATCTTATTATTATCTATGGTTTCTATATTTCTCTTGTCTTTATTATCGTTAGTCTTAGTGATACAAATATGTGTTTTATGCATGAATTCAAACAATACACTGATTGGTCATTGAAGAGCAGCCAACTTTATACTGTTTTGTCCTGAGTGCTGACCCTAACTCTGTCGGTCACTTTGCAAGGTAGGAGATTCAGGATCGTGGTGCATTTTATTAGATGTCACTTGGTTGGAGGCGACCAGGAGGAAACCCTTTTCGACCCGGATTTCGTTCTTTTTGGAACTCGTCAGCATGACGTGTCTGCAACCTCGAGGGAATTGATGTCTCATCTGAGATTCGGACTCGTGTCACCCAGTGTTGCAGACAGCCACGTTACCACTTAGTTATTTTTGCCTTATAACTTGGTGGCTACATTGCAGAATGATCAACAGAGTCCGGTTAGCATTCAGGACTAGACAAAATGAAATCGGTTGCGCTCCAGTGACCAATCAATGCACATAACCCAGTCCTACAGGAGGTGAATTATAGCCTAAATAGCTCAGTGGCAACGCCTCTGCTTGCAATACTGGGTGACGCTAGTTTGAATCGCAGGCAGGACATTAGTTCCTGCGAGGTCGCAGAGTATCGGTAGCCATGGAAACTAGGTTGAACAGGGCTTTCTGCCGATCGCCTTCAACCATCAGAATTCGATCAATTTTCACGTGGTAGTGAGTTTGCATCATGAACCGCAGTTATCTGCAGAATTATTGAAAATAGCTGATAAAGGTTGCCAATGATGAATATCTGTATTTCCGAACATAATGCAAACATCTGTTACAGTCTGACAATACTAGAAATTCAGTGTCATGTCAGTTTTTGAATTGCACTGTAGTTTGAAGTCATTACAAATCTTGGTTTTCAGGCTTTCATGTTTTTTATCTTTGTTTTCTTTATGGTAATAACAATAATATTTCAAAGTAGTTCTCATCATACAGTGATATCATTTGTAAAACACTGTTGAAAACCTAAGGGCATTGGGCAGGTAACTATTCTTTATTTTAGACACCAAGAATGGTGCACCCACAACTCTATAATGGATTGGATGATGGATCTCTAGGTTTAGTAGAAATCATTTTACAACTTCCCCACTAGATCTGAATCCAACAGTTCATATTTTCCTGCTTCTCTCAATCTTTAACACATGACTACCATCATCTGTTGCCGTCGGTAAGTACTAGCCTTCACATCCAGTTTGGTTGTTTCCACAGGAAGCGGCTTCATACTCGAACTTTGAGATATCTGTCTCGAAACACGTCACTAACAGGTATCGTACAGTAAGAGGAACATTGGAAAGCTGGTCCATTCTAGTATGAAACTTCTCAGCAGTCATGGCAAACCTGGTGGCCATGAGGACAAATACTCAACGATGACAGTGAATGATAGTCGTGCTGATGGCGTGGGCTGAAAGAAGTTGGAAATATGGACCATGGGATTCCGGCCCAGTAGCTCAGTGCTAACGTGCTGGCCACGGGATCTGAAGGCACTGGGTTCGATCCTAGGCAGTATGGGGTCATGAGTGCTCACTGTTGAGGAGCCCCGTACTAGGAGAAGACAGCTGTCCAATGCTCCCAGGTTTCTAATGTTCCTTCAACTGATTTCAGTCCGTGATGCATACCAACTTTTTCATGTACTTAAATTTTTTCAACGTAAATATGTGACGTTTTTTAAGGACCGTATTTGAAGCATCGTTCTCCGATTTTATGATCAATTCAATGAATATGATTTGGAATAGGATAAAAAGCAATGCCCTTAAAGCTACTTGAAAACCATTTAAAAAATAACACTACGTAAAACAGTGTGGAATAGACTGTACTACCTAGTAAAGAGATCAGGACTAAAATAATTAAGTTACTGTGACCAGTTCTACAAGTGATGGAATGGTATGTTTAGCATAGGTCGTTGGTGTCATGATTTTAGTTTCGTTAATTGGCTAGGCATGCATATTTCTGAGATATTCTGAGGATAACCTGTAGCCACTGTCTGGTGCTGCCTAATATTAAACATTGATTTAACAAATTTTAACTTGTCATAAAAGCCAAGTTTAATGTCATCAAGTTCCTTATTTCCTTGGTATGAGAAATGTGCATGAAAAAGATAGTTTAAATCTTAGTGAATTTAGAGGTTGTTAAACCATGCATTCATTTTATATTTTGGTAACTAACAAGACTATTGAATGTTCTAGGCGTCTAGACCTCATTCAGCAGTTTCCAGAGGATTTCAACGGGACAAAAATAATACAGCACAAGCACAAATATCTGAACGAAGTATTCCTGTAAGTTCCATATTGTATTATGTAAAAATAAATTCAAATGGTATAACTGTTGACATTACGCAGTGAATAATAACAATAACCGACAATCGAGACGATCATTAATGACGAAGAGTGGCTAGTAATGGAATCCATGGTATGCGTTTCGTCCTGTTCAGGACCCGTCATCTGGATGTACCTGTCTCCACGTGGGCGGTTTTGTTCCCACCAAGACTCAAACCCAGTACCAACTGCTTCAAATGCCACAGCGTTACCCCGTAGATCACTGAAACACAGTAGCCACTACTTATACGATAAGTATAGTATAGTCTCGGATATCACAGCTTATGCATCCCTTCCCCACTAACAGGATATGACCTCAGGTGGAACTCCCTTAATATTGCCAGTATTTTCAAATTTCATGTCAGTGATGCATAGTGGCTGACGGTCGAATCCAGGATTCACGTTCCGCTTACATGACAATAGTGGGTAATCATTTCAGTCCAATCAATGATGGGGATGAACAAACTATAACACCAAAGACTAAGATGATTATTTTTGCAGAAACAAAACAGATCATTGGAACGCAACTCGAAACACTATAATCCAGTAATGAAAAAAAAAATTTTTTCCAGCAGCGAATCACTTCTGTTAACTTCCTATCGAAGCCGATAAGAATCAAGTCAGAATGATCTTTCTTATATCACAAAGTTGTTGTGCACCTTGTATGGAGGAGGTAGATGTAGACAGGCCATCAGGAACTTTTAGTTTCAGAGAATATACTCGATTTGGGTAGTGCTGTAATACGTATACTGTTCAGTAGTGTACTTTTTATTCGACTTTGACAGCAGTTTAATGTTACAAAAGTTACAAGATGTATGCAACCTTGCATTATTGGCCTTTGAAAGAAGTTCTACCTACTCTTCCTCTGGTTAGACCAACAGACGACTGGATGGATTAAGGGTTATGTGTTGATATCAACAAATTGGTATCCACTTGATTAAAATCACTGAAAAAATTGGCTAAAGATGATAGATGAGGCTAGCACATGTGGTCGATTTTAATATAGCCGCGGAAATTATGAGACTAATGATGTTAAATTTCATCTTATCAAATATACGTCATAATCCTTACTCGATCTGCAGACTCTTATAACTTCAACACACGTAAAAAAAACTCAAAAAGAAGAAGGCTAGTCAAAATAGAAAGTTTTTACAGTCTCGATGAATGACAAAACCAATTCAGAACACGTGTATTTATACAGGGATTTTGACTGTTTCCAAGGTCAACAGCATAGTAAGGTCAGTCAGAAAAAGACTAACCTTGAAGACTGTGGGAAAATTGATCTGATAACTGTGGCATAGAAAAAGGTGCGAAAACAGTCAATTCAAATTCATAAAATAATGTAGATTGTAAGGCAATATGAAGACCTTCTGTTATATAATAATATGTCAATATAATATGTCAATATAATAATAATATGTCAATATAATAATATAATATGTCAATTATAATAATAATATGTCAATAATAATATAATATGTCAATTATTATCATTAACTGCTATCTCAACTATGCCACAATAATCAAGAATGTAGGTTAAGCTATTGAGTTGGTGTTGAGCACACTAATACAAGTTTTAGACAAATGAGGAATGCATTAACCAAAACCAATTAGTTTGCGTTGTTGAATAGACCAACAAAAATCACTACCGTTATTTTTAGCCCAGGTAGAGGATTTTGGTGGGAAATCTGTGTCGTCAATGATAGAAGAACTAAAAGCAACTACTAAATACATGCCACTATTCAAGGCTAAGCTACTACATTATCGACTCTATACCTAAGTTAGTGCTGTTGATGTTTTCTAGAAAAACAGTGAAACTTTATGACTAAATCATACTACTCAAAGAGCATATCGTAACTAAAATCGCTGTCAACATAAGACTATGGAATCTGTTTTGCATTGCATATATGGCAAGCGAAAGAATGACAGTTATTTGCTACTCACTGAGTTTTACTCGTGTCGTGTGATACGACCAAAGATTTCTTGATATCTCTTTGATAAGTAGGCAAAATCACAAGTTAGCTGTTTGTTCCACTCAGTACCTATGTGACCTAAGTGAAGTTAGCAAATAACTTCGACTCAATGGGATTTATCTGTAAAATGCATCCACAAACATCAGGCAATATTTTTTTTAAACAACGGGTTCAGAACAAGTGAACGTTGTTTGTCTTTTATATGTGAGATATTTAACCACAGAATTCAAATGTTTTGAATGATACCTTGTAAAAATAAAGGAATTTACAATACCTACTAAATTCTTTTTGAGAATTACTTGCCCAACACATATGGATTAAGAAATCGTGGAGAGTATTTACAGCTCAAAGTGTGGGTTGTCTGACTTGAGGTTTTTGTTAGAAAACGTTTCATTGTCAAACTAGACACCGCCGGCATCTCACTGGAGCTTGGCATGGAAGTAAAGTAAGTAGCTACACGTCCTACTCTATCTACGTCTAAGCTGACTGGTCACTTAATCAATGTATTGGTGGATGCTGGACGTGATTGGTTCGATTTCTGCCTCCAGTTTTCTCATGTAGTGTGCGTGCAGCTGTATAGTTGTTTGACATGCCTTACTTGCATGCAGTGCATTTAGGTTGCTTCGTTGTGATTGGTTGTACCTTTTCGTCTGAATGAACTGGTGTAATTGATTGATTCTTCTGTACTTGAGGGGGACGTTTCACGCTGGTTGGAGGATTTGATCTCTACCAATACTGGCTTTTTAGTTTTTATTGAAGAGAGAGATCTTGTATTGACTGGTTATGTGCAATGGTTTTGTTAGACCTAGGTAGTTGGGTATGAGTGAGTGATCTTCATTAAATTGATTGTAAATCTCTTGGTTAGTTGCGCCGATTGTTACCGTATATTTGAATCGATTAGTTCCCGTCGTTGATTTGTTTCGAATTGGTCCGGATCTTGCGCCTAGAATAATGTGGCAATTTACTGTTTATTTGCTTTAGTGTGAGGCCTCAAGAAGAGCCAATCAGTCAGACCAAAACAGCCTTTATCACTTCGATGAAGCAAAAATATTAAGCAGTCATGTCAACGAGAGCTAATGGCAGTCTCTAGCATGACAGTGAAGTGTTTACCAAGCGATACGATCCTAGCCCAAGCAAAACATATCTGGCTTTGATTGTAGAGCGACTAGTACTACGTACAATGTAGACATCCAGGAATACCATGTTTCATGATCATGGGTATGGGACTGTTTTTGATTTGACGTTGTATTATTCAACTTCAAAGTTAAAGAATTCATAACTTAGCAACACACACTGGTGTCTGACTAATGAAACTAACAAGCATGAAGCAAAATGTCGTATACTATGGATGATAATCTTTGTATTTTACTATAATCATCCTAGTTTCTTCGTATACAGCAAACCGAACAATCATGTTTACCTCATTACGACCTACAATTTTTCAAGTACTCTACCTTTCTTTTGTGTAATTCTAGCGTCGTACATCAAATTCATCACTGGAAAAAGAGAGAATATTTTGGGCACGAAGACATACTCAAGAACAAATAAAAAAGTAAGCTAACCAATTTTCATTTTACATTTTGAAGTAATGATACTTTTTGTACGAACTAACCAAGCTACACTCTTTCGCTCTTCTTCCTCACCTAAAAAGTTCACTGAAGCACTTGATACGCAAATAGTAGAGAATATCTGTATCTGAATGTGGGGGTGTTTCGACAAAAATTTGTATTTCCGGCATATAAGCTTGGTCGACATTCAAGTTATGATCTTTAGTTTAGGGCGAAGATCAGCTGGTATGGAAAATATACTTACACGACATTTTTATTAGTTTCCGTTAGAGAACAAATTCACTAGTGAATGAATATGTGGACATCGAATGTCCGAAAAATGTTTGAACCTAGCAAGGCTGCCCACGTTACAAAAGAGATGAGAAGGTATAGCACAGAAGTGCTACGAATCTGCAAGAAATCTGCAGATGGAATGGAAGTGGACTCTACAAACTGTCAACTAGAAAGCAGTCAATAATCTACTCCGATATTGTCACCCAGATGACAACCACGAGCACACTGAGTTTTCGAGTGGCTATCACGATGTCCCCCAAAGCATCCAAGGCTCTCATGCAGTGGGAACCAGTCTCCTCCTGCAGGATCAGGATCAGGATCATAACAGCATGGCTCAACTCAAAAGGGAGGAAAGTAGTCACAACCACACAATGCTACGCTACGCTATGCACCTACAAATAGTGCAGATGAAGAGAAGGAGGAGAAATTCTTCAGACAACTGCAATCAGTACTAGACAAGACTTCAGTTGGCGAAGGCGACATCAAAATTCATTCAGATGGGTGGGGTGACATGAATGCCAAACTGGGAGCGGACGACACAGGAAGAGAAGTCGTCATGAGTCGTGAAGCACTCAGTGAAATGAACAAGAATGGAGAACTGTTTGCAGATTTCTGAGCATTTAATGACTTGGTGATTTTAGGTGAGGCAGTGTGTACAAGTACAAGGATATTCACAAGCGATATGGATTTGATCTCGCCAGATGGACACACTACACTGAAAATTAGATGGACTTGATTTCAATGTGAAGAAAGTGGAGATGGAGACACAGCCTAGTGGACACAAGATCAGATGACGAAGGGGAGCAGATGTAGATTCACACCACTGCATATCTAGTGCAAGGAATCTAACTGTGAAATCAAGTTGAAAGCCTTGAAAGAAGTTGGTGATGATAGACCACAGTTGAAGTTGAACACCCAGAACAGAGACTGAAGGATGAAACAACAAAGGATATCTTGACGTCAGTCAGCCATGAGGACAAAATGGGAGATATTGAGCAACATGAGTGAAGAAACGTGCGTGGAAGAACATTGGAAGAGCACTGTTTGAAAGCTATGTGGACGGAAACCTGCATAGCTGTATTAGGAATGAAGAATAAACAGGACAAGGAATGTATCTCGAGGGACACACAGAAGCTGATAGAGCGTAGAGAAGAAGATGTTGAAGCAGAGGATAAATCAGTGCCTTGGAAGGATGAAGAAGGAAAAGAGGAACTGAACACAACCAATAAAACACTACACTGGCCGAAGAAGTGGAAAGAAGTGCGTGGAAAGACAAAAGACGCTTCCACAACACACTTGCAAGTGAAGCACAACAGGCTAGAAGTTTAACTGCATTGAAGAAGGTTTAAGATAACCAGACTGAGATATGGTACCAATGCGTGAAGTCCATGGCTATTGGTCTGACTCATGTAGGGAGATGTAGACTACCTGGCTGGGGTCCCCAAGACAATAGGAATCAATGGTTGTGGACTATTGGTGACATGGCTGAAAATCAACCACAATGGTACACATGCATCCACTCCCTGACGTCTGCTAAGGCATGAATGTCTTGACTAACCCCGATACGACTTCGTCTACTTTGATATCAATCTTCTTCTGTCCATTTGTGCTAACTTGAACCAATGCGCTCGTGTGCCAGGTTCTACTTTGTTTTTGCCCACCTATCCTTATCACTGTGATTGGTTTTGAGATGCGTCAAGCAGGATCTCTAATAGTTGATTCTTAGCATCTCAAGAACTGTAACCGGGTAACGTAGCCTTTCCCACTTTGCTTACACGAAGAGTGAATAAATTCATCAATAAGTTGCATGTATTGGTCTGGCCGGATCATGCAACAAACTGTGAGGAGCGAGAAGATAGGAATACGCTGATTGACCGATGAAAGGACCTTAGAAGATTTGGATTTCGCTGATCACAATTTATGTCTAATGTCTTATCGCACAAACTCGAAGATCTACAGGCGAAAACTAACAAGTTGACAGAAGAGGCAGGGCAGAGAAGATGCGACTTCAAGTGAACATAGAGAAGACAGTGCTGGTGAAGATTCCCAATCAACAACAGCAAGAGGAACCAATCACGACCAACGGGAGAAATCTAAAGAAAGTAGTCTCTTTCACCTACCCATCTACCCAGGCAGCATCGTTTCAACTACAGGTGGCGATGGCGCAGATGAAGACTTAAAAGTCAGGATTGGAAAGACAGCACGACAGACCTTCATTAATCTGAAATTACTGTGGAGATCTACTGCACTCCACTCCACTCAGCATTAAGCGTGAACAATATCCGGATTCTCAACACTAATGTCAGTCAAGTCAGTGATTCAATGTGAGAGATAGTTGAGAGACTTGGCGCGTCACGGAAAGCATTTGCAACGAACTACAAACATTCATGAACAGCTGCTGCCTACGCTCGTTCACTCGATACTGAAGATCAGATGGCCAGAGTAATAAGAATAAGCAACAAGGAACTGTAACCTGATAGCGAAACAATGAAGCAAGAAGTTATCGCCCAACAAATATGCAGAAGTAAGTGGAGGTGGATTGGATTGGACATACACTGAGGAGACCGTTTGGGGACATCACACACCAGGCCCTCGAGTGGAATCCAAATGAGAAACGACGAGTTGAGCGTCCGAGGGTGACATGGAGGAGATGGTGTGAGGAAGAAATGAAAGCTTCTGAACAGTGGTGGAGCCAGGTTAAACAGATTGCGGAGAATAGAATGCAATGGCGACGTGCTACTGAAGCCTTATGTTCCACTAGGAACCCAAGGGACAAATAACTAATAATTAATAATAATGATAATAATAATAATGAATTGATCTGGCCACCTCAAACTTCCTTCAAAATTATTACTACTCCAGGTAACAGTGATGAGTTAGGTTGACGGTCTCAGCATAGATAATAAGTGCAGTATTGTGCTTGAAAGTGGTTTATTTAATAATAGTACCTAGAGCAATATTTCAACTACAAATAAGTTTTAAGAAAAAGTTCACTTTCGTGTTCTCGGTAATTTTGTCAAGAATGTTTATTCTTAGTAAAAACAGATGGTTAACTTTTGCTCATCTACTCTTATTCTTAGCTTTCCTTTTGATGTATGTTTAAAGTAAACTCAGTCGTAACACTAACCTAACGGAAATGAATGTTGATTGTTTATGTGCATATATCAAAATCATAAGGCGATAGGTAGACAGATGGATAGAGAGGCAGACACAAACATCATCAGAGCCTTGAATATTGATAGGTATAAATTTTTACAATAGATTGTTCATATGATGCCCTGGTATACAAGGTATGAATAAACGTGAAACTGGACAAGATTCATTTTTTGCAATAATGTCATTTAATAATATTGATTTACATTAATTTCATGATGTTTAGTCTTATATGTACTGATCACTGAATAATTGTGTTTCAAAAATACATTTAACAAATGAAAAAGTAAGTATAATAGATGTAAGGCGTGGACAAATTTCGGTGGGTCGGTAAAATACAAATAAAAATTATTTTTAAGTTAAATTTTGTAAAAACCTGTCTTTAATTGGTTTGACAACCATGCATGGTAGCTATAGAATAGTAAACACAATGTCTTACATGAAAAATGTTAACTTCTTACCTATGTAGATGAAATGTTTACAAATATATATATATATATATATATATATATATATATATATATGCTGGTAAAGCTGCCTAATACAGCCTTCGTTCAGAAGACAGACAGTCAGGTGGACTTGGTAAGTGGCACAAAAGTGCATTGTTTTAAGTTGCCGTACTTCATACTAGCATGGATGGAAAAAGTATGACAATAAAGTAGATAAAAGCGTATAAAGGTTGGAAAAATAAATAGATGAGTGTTAATGAAGATATTTAGGACTTTGAAGATGATGACATTTGTATATATGTGCATGATTGTAGACGATTTTGAAGAATAGTACAAAGAGTCTCCAACCATCGACTACTGTCTTCTCCAGGACTTCAATCAAGCAGTCTGCATCTTCTTGTTTGGCTCAGAAAAAGTCAAAGACTTCATAAACTGGTGCCACGTTTTAGTCTCGTCATCCTAAGCCTTTTATCAACCAAATGATACTTTGGCTAACATTATGCTAGGGTTTGGATGACCAGCCCCAAAGTTATCATTGCTGGTGATGTTATTGCTCAATAACTATCAGCCTCTAAGTCACTGAATCTCACTGACTTCCTTAAACTTTCAACGTCAATCAACGCATAGTATTGTAATGCAATTTCTGAATTAATTCCATGTTAAGACTAAAGATATATGAGTCTTCCTGAAAAGTTGTAAATCAGTAATTGTCAGTTAGGGAGTACTCCATCATTTTAAGTAATTATTATCTCAAATGTTAAATAGCCTACTTTCTAATTTATCATAGATTCCATTGAATGGAATTTTTTTGCTAAAGTATTATTAACCATATTACTATTGATATAGCGATGAAAGAGAGCGCATACAAAAATGTTATGATGAAAAGTTGAATAGAATTGAAAAACAAAGAAACCAAATCTTAAAAGAAAAAGAACGAAATATGACTGAAGCTCAGTAAGTTAATAAATTAGATTTGCGTAGTAAGGCATTCAGATGAATATTTTTGAAAAAAATATAATAATAGGCATCTTTGTTCACTAAAAGAATGTTGAAATTTTGAACCTTCTTGTTCCTAACATGAAGAAGTAAAAGCTGTTTCTTGATGACGACATTGTCTACTTGCATGAATGTTAGGAGACTCTTAATATGGGAGTGAAACTTGGGCACTGTAGTAGACCGATATTCCATTGTAAGCTATCTATTAGGAATGTCCCACAATGAAGGGACAGTATCATTTACTGGATAACATAATTTATTGTCCATATTCATATAAGGTAAATTCACAACTGTGAGACAGTTTATATGATCCTAATTTTCTCTCCTTCATTGTGATGACAGGGACAGTAGAATTTTATATATATCTGGGACAGGTGCACGATCATTCCTATTGCTGGATGTATTTGGTGTTGATTCAATAGACAAAGATTCAGTTATCAATCTATCCCTCTCTCCACCCAACTAGGCTAGTTTTTAGTAGTGTCACTCTATCCCACCCTACTGTGTGATTGAGTGTAATTGCGTGTCGAGCTTTTTTCTAAATTCCCTATCTTATTAGAATCTACTAACCGTGATTTAGCTAAGGTGTTTTGCTTGGATAGCCCAGTTGACCCCGATGAACTAGTTTGACCCATGTATTTGACCTCACACTCATTTCAAGGAATTTGGTAAACCAGGTTATTCTGCTTAATTGCATCAATAGGATCTTTTAATTCACAAAGCTTGTTTCTAAGCGAGCTTGTTGGCTTGAATGCCACTTTAATCCCAGCTTTATTGAGAATTCTTCGCAATACTTCTTAGGTGCCTTCCTTATATAGTAACATAGTGGAGGCTTTGAATTCTCTCTCATCCCTGTTACCATTTTAACTACTAGTAATAGGATTGTTATTACCAGTACAGTAGTAGTAATACTACTAGTAGTTATAATGGTAACAGGGATGAGAGAGAATTCAAAGCCTCCACTATGTTACTATATAAGGAAGGCACCTAAGAAGTATTGCGAAGAATTCTCAATAAAGCTGGGATTAAAGTGGCATTCAAGCCAACAAGCTCGCTTAGAAACAAGCTTTGTGAATTAAAAGATCCTATTGATGCAATTAAGCAGAATAACCTGGTTTACCAAATTCCTTGAAATGAGTGTGAGGTCAAATACATGGGTCAAACTAGTTCATCGGGGTCAACTGGGCTATCCAAGCAAAACACCTTAGCTAAATCACGGTTAGTAGATTCTAATAAGATAGGGAATTTAGAAAAAAGCTCGACACGCAATTACACTCAATCACACAGTAGGGTGGGATAGAGTGACACTACTAAAAACTAGCCTAGTTGGGTGGAGAGAGGGATAGATTGATAACTGAATCTTTGTCTATTGAATCAACACCAAATACATCCAGCAATAGGAATGATCGTGCACCTGTCCCAGATATATATAAAATTCTACTGTCCCTGTCATCACAATGAAGGAGAGAAAATTAGGATCATATAAACTGTCTCACAGTTGTGAATTTACCTTATATGAATATGGACAATAAATTATGTTATCCAGTAAATGATACTGTCCCTTCATTGTGGGACATTCCTAACAGACAGACTGAAGAGGAATTACGAGACTCTTGTTAATTTCTATTTTCAGGTTGTTGTTCATCACGGACTGACATCAGTCAGACAACTGTTGAAAACCTAGAATCACTGAACAGCTTTTCGCCCAAATTTGAGAATTTTCAGCAGCTCGCACACATGACTTTGCCGGGGGTCGAACCCACCACCTTCTTTTTCTGTGGCTGGCACACCTCTGGTCCAGAATGCAATGTTCCACATTTCCTTACATCTTTCAATTCGTGAGATAGCATGACTTCCATCTATTACCGCCTATGAATATCCGTCCTCATGTACAACTTCGATTCCGACCCAGAGGCTCAATGGTGACGCCCTCGCCATGGAAAATGGAGGTCCTGGGTTCAATCCCTGGGGGGCCATGGGTTCACACTACTGAGTCTCACACTAGGATGAAACAACTTTCCAGTACTTGCAATTTCTCAATGGTTCTTCAACTGATATCAGTCGATGACGAATAGCAACTTGAAATCAATAAAATCCCCCAAAACCTCTGAATTTTTATTTTCGTTTTATCTTTCAACCCCATAGCCTGGAGAATAACATCCTAAGATTTCAAATTTATGTGTAGTGTATTCAAGTTTCAGTGAAATTGAAACACTTTTTGTCATATAGGATCGTAAATTTAATCTTTGAAGAATTTTATAAAACTACTAGCGAGGTATGAAAGATTTAAACAGTAATCGGTCTTGAAAACCAGTTCATCAGTGGTATAGTGTTAAAACGATTAACACATTGTATGAAGTCTTTCAGATCGTTCGCATATGAAAAAATAAAACAATGGGACTTGTAATGTTCAGAAGTTGATGAATTGTCTGCAAATCGTTTACACTTTCTTGAGATTGCTTCTGTACATATATATATATATATATATATATATATATATATATATATATATATATGGCTAAACTGGCTGAATAATTGCTTATTTATTCAACTATGATATCAGCTCCGAGGAAATATCCAGTAGTTTTTGTCCCACTTAACTTAATCAACAGATTTTGATTAGGATAAACGACTGAACAGTTACATCAGTCACACTCCAGTTATCGATTCATAAACATATTTCAGCTCTTGATCTAAGCGGCTTAATATTCAAGTGTTTGACTTCAACGCCGAAACATACAAGTCTCTGAAGGAACACAAGTTTTCTCAGGTTTACAAATAAGCTTTAATTTTGGACACTAACTATTAAGAGACCTAGTTCTGATATGGGGATAGGTAGATAGAAAATCGTAGTCAGGAGAGCGACCAATCAGAATGTAGTTTGTGTTATCACATCTACCTACAGTTAGATAGAGAAACACACAGTCGGTGGGATCAGCCAATCAATAGGATTACCTTAAACAGTGAACTATCATAAACATACAGGCCGTAGTTGTTACAATTGTCCTGAAAGAAATTGAGCCTGCGTCAGGTTGACTCATTATATAGGTAAGTTCTAATATAATGAATCTATATATTAACTGTATTTTCCCTTGTTTTCGCTCTTCTGTCTTTCGACCACAATACACGTTTCAACACGTCCATTGTGTCCTCTCCATTAATTAGTCGGGTCGTGAATCAACTAGAAATTTGTTGAACGTTGGTGGCTGACACTCAATATCCATGCATCGTTAGCGGCTATGGCACATAACAGTTTTCCAAATCACAACAAATTCATCCATATCCTTCTGCTGATTAATACCAAAAATACAGCTATTAACTCAGGAGATTCAATAAATAATGAAATTGTACCAGTAGAAATAAGTAGACATCACGACAGAACCAATAGTAGGAGAAAAATATCAGTAAAAAAAAGAAGATAAAATTAGTAATTATAGTTAAGTTAAATCATGAACTCCATTTTTATTGTGTAAACTCCCTTCTAGAACTATTAGTTTATAAAAGCACAATTTATTACTTTTGTATAAAATAAAAGGTAAGTGTAAATAAACCTTATGTGATGAAGTCATTGAAAAAAGAAAAAAAAAGGAATTACTATGATATTACTAATTGTTAGTTCGGATAACAGCGGCCTGCTTGAATATCTGGGCTGTTAAATTTTCTATCTGTTATATTGCATCAAACTTTTCTACAAATTTGTTCGTTTTAATCATTCTATTATGTCCTATGATCGCATCATATGTTCACGCACATTTTTTTAAAAGCTTACGGCCTTCTGCGATGCCAGTATCAGATGAGATGAGCCGACAAAGCCTTTCTCTGGCACTTAAACCTACATACAAACTTACTCAAAGATAAGCTTCATAGGCTTCTGGATCCTATAGAACCAATTTAACAAAATAATTTAATCTATCAAATTCCATACAATGACTGCAAGGTCAAGTACATAGGTCAAACTAGCCTGTCGGGGTCAGTTGGAATAGCAGGACATAAGAATTTAGCTAAATAAAGAATAACTGACCCCAATAAGATCAGTAATCTAGAAAAACACTTGGCTATTGCAATGCATGCATCAACACACAATAAGATGGGTGGGATAAGACCGCTGTACTTGACTGTAATATAATTATGTGTAGAGAGAGAGATTGATTGCTGAATATTTGTTCATCGAATCAACCAGCACCTAACACATGTAATAGAAATAGCGCAACACCTATACCAGAGGTGTAGAAAATTTTACTACCAAATAGTGTGAAGTGATAGGACTATGAAAATCAAATCTCGAAAGTAGTGTGATTACATTGATATGATTATGAGCAATAATTTATGCTCGAAACACCATTGTGTGCTACATATCCAATAAAAAAAAAGTGGAATATGAAATTAAATTCTACGAAAGTGTCCAGGTTTTACATTTATATTAATGTTTATCTATTCATTTCATGCTAAATAATTGTTAAAATTGTATACTGTATGATGATTGAAGGTGGAAGGAAAATTTGGACAGCGGCCGGATTCGAACCGGTGACCACCTGCTTTCCTACCCGATGTTCTACCAACTAACTGAGCTACGAGATTGTGTGTTGTTAAATCGCAGCTTTTCTTCTCCTTTTTTCCTTACTCTCTTAAACGAAACCATCCGATTTCATCTAGTTATGAACGTGAACGAAAATTACGTCAAGTACAAGAAAGAAGAGAACAATTGAGAAGAATGATTGATGAATATAGAAAAGAATTACATGAAGCACGTGAACAAGTGAGCATAATAATTTTTTGATTGTGTAATATATCCTTCTTTATATTTTTATTGAATAAATAGGTATGAATTTGCTGAGAATATATTTCCCACTTTCAAATAAGATTATCTGATGAATAGATATGCTTAGTGTATTTGAAAGAGAAGTCTACTTAGATTGATAGACAGACGGACAGACAGACAATATGAGTTGTAAAATCCTATTTAAATGAGCCAATTTTCTACACATAGTAAAGCATGACAGTATAAAGATTACGCTATTACCTCTAGTAATTGATCTACACAAACACTGATTCATTTATAGATGAATGTATTAATAAAATGATTACCATTCATCTAAGAGCATCGGAATACGATTGGGATCGGTTCTAAAACATATGTGTTTGAACACTGACACCAAACATGTTTACACTAAAAGAATGAAAAAAAAGGAACAAGACTGATAGAGTGAATAAATATATTCCTTTTCAATTAGGTCTTCACCTTGGGTTCTATACTAATATACGGTTTTATAACTTACTCAAATTACCAATCACATGGTGATGTTTTACAAATTAAGATGTCAATAATCTATAGAGTTATTATAGTTGGAAATATGAAACAAGCTATTCTTTGGTAAATGGAACGATTTTTGATGAGTGTTCAGTCATTCACAATTAGCGATTACGTAACAATGAGCAAACAAATGAATATTGATAGAAACAAGAAGGGAAAGAGGTGTACAAAGTAATCCTAGAAGTTACATCATGTTGACGGTCACAGTAATGAAAGTGGTCGAAAAAACTTCTTTTGAATACAAAGGTTAGGTTTTTACAGGTGGATTGCAACCACCTCTCCTATGTGAAGTAACCCTGTGTGTAATCCATGTGGTAAATTAATTGGAATCTTATGGATGATTTTAAAAGCTTTTCTAGAATCCACCTGATGTCCCGTGTCAACTAAGTGTGGAAGTATGGAGCTCTTTATCGTTCTAATTTGTCCCTTGCTCAACCATGTTGGGTGGTGCTCAGAAATTCGATGATGAAACTGCCTCATTGTATGCCCAATGTAACTAGCTCCGCAGGAGCAGTTGAATTGATGAATGCACATGGAAGTGGCAGAGTCAGGTAGTTTGTCTTTATTTCTTGCAGCTAGAATCCCGCCGTAGTAGAAGGTGGGACATAATTTAGCGGCTGCAAAGGTTTTATGCAAGACTTTTTTATGCGCTGTGTGATGATCTGAGGGTTAAACTGGCATTACTGATCTCTTAAGAGAACAGAGTATTTACTGCAGTTCAGTATAGAAAAATTATGGAGTGGTGAAAAAAATATGATTGAATAACAGACAAGCAGAAATTATATTTTTCGGTTATTTAATATATTTCGTGAACTCAGAAAGGTGGTGCGATCCAATTTATTTGTTATGGATGATGAATAATTAACTAATAACGTGGTGGTGATACTTAAGCTTTCAAATGGTGAGAATAGTTCTCATCAGTTGTTATCAGCGAGAAATCCATCCTAAAAGGCAACGGTCCACGATGCTGGTATAGTACCTCAAGAGGCATATTACATAACCCTTAGTGGTCCCTTATTTTTTTATTAATTGGCCACAATCTATTTTAGAGGCTAATGTTATCTATCAATCCTAAAAATGGTATGATAAACTTAATGGTACAGGTAATAGAGTAAAATTTCCTAATTTGGCTATCGTAGGTCACCTTCATGAATTTCGCCTCATGATTAACAGCTATTTTAACTGAGTTGCCGTTTCAAGTAAAGATTGAGTATCCTCAGATTGATCTTGGTGATGTACTTTCCCAGTTTCTGAGAAATCTTTCTACAATGAACTCAAATTATTAAGCCTAACTTAGTATGCGAATTACTAGTGATACTGAGTGATGATTGAAAGGTAAATAAGAATTCTGACTGCGGTGACCATCAGGTTTCCGGCCCGGTGCTCTACCAACCAAACTATGAAACCCAACTGCTGACCGAATTTGGTTGATGGTTCGAATCCCACTGCGGTCGAAATTTTCATTTCACCTTCAATCATCACTCAGTATCAATACAAATTTGCCGAACTACGACTATTTCAGACGTGATATTACTTTATGAAGTTCTTCACCTTTGGTTTCAGGTGCATAGAGGAAGTTAGGTTACCTGACATAATGACAGTGTTGATGATGTACCTCACTATCAGTCTCAGTAGAAGAATCTACTAACCCTTCAGTGTCTTAAAAACTCTAGTTATTATTATTTTTTCTGTAGACTTCATTTATTCATTTTCTCCCGTCATATTTCCCAGTTTTTCAATATTTGCCTACTTCTCGCAGTTTTCTTTTTGCGTGTTGTTACGAAGTATGATAACTTGAAAGGTCAAGCATTTGTGTCAGGCTGTACATTTTCCCTTTACTTTGTCTACTCAAGATACGAGGTGTGCACGAGACTCTAGTCGTTTTCTTATTCTAAATTTAATCGATCATCCTACATTTAACACCTATCCTTTGAAAATTGAAATGATTACGAAATAACTCATCTTTTACCGGTGGTATAGTTCTACGCAGATTAAAACTGAGAACTTAGTAAAAATCAAAAACAAAATATTTTTAAAATTTTCATCTTGGTGATTTTACCACTTTCATTTTGAATAAGTGAAGTAATTTCTTCTTTATTAAATTTCTCTCCTACCTTTACTTTAAACTCTTACTACAGTCAATGCAAAGAGCTCTTGAACGTGTATCTTCCAGATTATCTGAAGAACAGCAAAGGTTGGCTTTAGAACGAAGACAGAAACAGATGCAAGTTGAAGAAAATACAAAAGAGTTAGTATGAATTTTGTTACCTCCTTTTTATTCATACAAGATTGTTTCTGACTGCTCATTTGATGCCAGTTGATTCTCTTATGTGCCTATTAAGTGTTTAAATAATATCCTACTTTTTTACCATCGAATAAAAAGAATATTGAAAAACGACAGTGTAGAACACATTGGATAAATTGTACTGCGTCCTGCTGATACAGTTCTCAAGAACATATACCACGAGAGAGTGAGAGGTGATGATAAACAATGAAGCGAATCTATTCAAATATACGTAAAGACAAAGACAAAAAACAGTGAATGGTAAAATATGAGTGACCTTGAGTGTCATCAGAGCGACAAATACAATAACCAATCTGGTATCTTTATTTCGGCCTTAAAGGTAGCTTTTTCGTACAATAAAGGCACCTAATTGACTATTTGAGTAGTTTTCTGAGTGGCCTTTAGAGTCATTCAGATACATTCAATGTTTGGAGAAAGGTATGTAGGAAATTAAATCATACTATTTTAGTGCATTTAACTTGAAGTATTCAATAAACTTAACCTCGTCTGGTTAACTAGTTCACCAGTTACTAGCCGTCTTAAGCCCGGATAACGACGGAAGGCTGCCCAGATTGCCGAAGAGACCATCACCTGAAACTCGTCCAGAAATACTACCATTAACAACGGAACTACCAGTGAACACAAACCCTCCGATAAAAGCGGAAGTGAAGTACTAAACGCCATAAACTTGCTGAAATCCAGGAAAGGAGCAGGACCAAGGGGAAATTCCGCCAGAGCATTGAAAACAGAAGCAGAGACAACAGTGTACATGTTCACACTGCTACTTTGGAAACTTGAAAGCAAGGAAAGAAGTGCTAGGAATCTGCAAGAAATCTGCAGATGGAATGAAAGTGGACTCTACAAACTGTCAACTAGAAAGCAGTCAATAATCTACTCCGATATTGTCACCCAGATGACAACCACGAGCACACTGAGTTTTCAAGTGGCTATCACGATGTCCCCCAAAGCATCCAAGGCTCTCATGCAGTGGGAACCAGTCTCCTCCTGCAGGATCAGGATCATGACAGCAAGGTTCAACTCAAAAGGAAGGAAAGTAGTCACAACCATACAATGCTACTCTACGCTATGCACCTACAAATAGTGCAGATGAAGAGAAGGAGGAGGAATTCTACAGACAACTGCAATCAGTACTAGACAAGACTTCAGTTGGCGAAGGCGACATCAAAATTCATTCAGATGGGTGGGGTGACATGAATGCCAAACTGGGAGCGGACGACACAGGAAGAGAAGTCGTCATGAGTCGTGAAGCACTCAGTGAAATGCACGAGAATGGAGAACTGTTTACAGATTTCTGAGCATTTAATGACTTGGTGATTTTAGGTGAGGCAGTGTGTACAAGTACAAGGATATTCACAAGAGATATGGATTTGATCTCGCCAGATGGACACATTACGCTGAAAATTAGATGGACTTGATTTCAATGTGAAGAAAGTGGAGATGGAGACAGCCTAGTGGACACAAGATCAGATGACGAAGGGGAGCAGATGTAGATTCACACCACTGCATATCTAGTGCAAGGAATCTAACTGTGAAATCAAGTTGAAAGCCTTGAAAGAAGTTGGTGATGATAGACCACGGTTGAAGTTGAACACCCAGAACAGAGACTGAAGGATGAAACAACAAAGGAAATCTTGACGTCAGTCAGCCATGAGGACAAAATGGGAGATATTGAGCAACATGAGTGAAGAAACGTGCGTGGAAGAACACTGGAAGAGCACTGTTTGAAAGCTATGTGGACGGAAACCTGCATAACCGTATCAGGAAGGAAGAAGAAATAGGACAAGGAATGTATCTCGAGGGACACACAGAAGCTAATAGACCGTAGAGAGGAAGATGGTGAAGCAGAAGATAAACCAGTGCCTTGGAAGGATGAAGAAGGAAAAGAGGAACTGAACACAACCAATAAAACACCACACTGGCCGAAGAAGTGGAAAGAAGTGCGTGGAAAGACAAAAGACGCTTCCACGACACACTTACAAGTGAATCACAACAGGTTGCAGGTAGGAGACAGACACCTGACAACATTATATCAAATAAACAGGTTACAATCCATCTGGTAAGAGATCAATGCAGAAGGAACAAATGAAAGATAGTGAAGGAAAGCTGGTTACCGAAGAGGGAAAACAAGGCAAACGATGGGCTGATCTCTTCAAAAAACTCTTGAATCGACCACCACCTGCAACTCGTCCAGAAATACCACCAGCAGCCCAGCCCAGCCCAGCCCAGACACAGAATCACCAGTGAAAAAAATATCTCCGACAAAAGCAGAAGTGAAGTCCTCAGGGCCATAAAGTTGCTGAGATTCGGGAAAGCAGCAGGACCAGATGTAATTCCGCCAGAAGCACTGAAAACAGACACAGAGATAAACGGGGACATGCTCACACCACTACTGCAGAAGGTTTGGAAGAAAGTAAGGAAGGAATGGAAGGTACCCGCCCATTGATTAGAAGAAGGGAGACCTAAGTCTTTCCAGGAACTGGCACGGAATCATACTCCTGTCCACCAGAAGCAAGCAAATTATTAGGTCGCATCATCCTAGAGCGACTAAAACATGCACTAGATTCAAATTTACGACTGCAACAGTCTGGCTGGATTCAGGAAGTGCAAATCATGTGTGGGTCAAATTGCAACGCTACGCATCATCACAGAATAGAGCGTAGGATGGCAGTCAACTCTCTACCTCAACTTCATCGATTTTGAGAAGACCTTCGACAGCATCGACCGAGAAGTAATTTGGCAGGCAGCTGCTTCAACGCTACGGTTTTAGTGTCACAAACCTTTATCAGCCTCATTATTCAACAGCTATATGAAGACGCCACATGCCGCGTGATTGACAATGGAAAGATCAGTGATGCCTTGAAGTTTGGACAGGAGTAAGAGAAGGTTGCTGCCTACTATCACCGATGATCTTCCTGATTGTGGTCGACTAAACTGGACTGGACTGGATCATGCAGCAAACCGTGAGGAGCGAGAAGACGGGCATACGCTGGCTGGACCTATGCGAAGACCCTAGAAGATTTGGATTTCGCTGATCACGATTTATGTCTAATGTCTTATCGCACAAACTCGAAGATCTACAGGCGAAAACTAACAAGTTGACAGAAGAGGCAGGGCAGCGAAGATGCGACTTCAAGTGAACGTAGAGAAGACCCAAACAACAACAGCATCAACAAAAAGAGGCATCAATCATCATCAACGGGAGAAATCTAAAGGAAGTAGTCTCTTTCACCTACCCATCTACCCAGGCGGCATCGTTTCAACTACAGGTGGCGATGGCACAGATAAGGACTTAAAAGTCAGGATTGGAAAGACAACGAGACAGACCTTCATTAATCTGAAATTACTGTGGAGATCTACTCCACTCCACTCCACTCAGCATTAAGCGTGAACAATATCCGGATTCTCAACACTAATGTCAGTCAAGTCAGTGATTCAATGTGAGAGATAGTTGAGAGACTTGGCGCGTCACGCGCATGAGTGAGGTTAAAAGGAATGTGATAAATAACTTTAAAGGTATTATGAATATTAACTCGGTGGCCGGTGTCAAACAGAAGCGAGAGTATTGAGCTTTGTATCGATCTGGTTTGCTCCTTACTTAGCCATGAAGGATGATGCTTGTCGACGGACTTGTCTAACTGTAGATCTAATGTAACTAGCTCCACAGGAGCAGTTGGACTGGTAAATGCACATAGAAGAGGAGAAGTCAGGTAATCCGTCTTTAGTTCGCGTGATCATCATGGGGTCACCACTAGGCCCAGTCTTAGCGAAATTAGAAAATGGCCCTCTGGAATGTATCATAAGCGGGTTAGAATTTTACTGCCGTTATGTAGATGATATATTCGTAATTGTGAATAACGAGAACGTTGCAAGGATTATACTGGATAAATTTAATAGCATCCATCCAGCGATAACCTTTACCACTGAGACAGAAAGTGACGACAGCATCACCTTCTTGGATGTCCAATTGACAAAGAAGGCGGATGGAACTGTAAAATCAAGTATATATCGGAGACCAACGTCAACAGGTCAATATACCCACTTCTTGAGTTTCGTCCTCTTAAAATGTAAACGAAACCTAGTCAAATGTTTGGTCCATCGGGCTAGACTCATCTGTTCAGATGATACTGTTGACGAAGAGCTCCAAATTATCCATGCCGCAAAGCTATGCTGTTTATTCTACAATCGGCCGATGATGACTACACGAACCAAAGACAGATTACCCGACTTCTCCTCTTCTATGTGCATTTACCAGTCCAACTGCTCCTGTGGAGCTAGTTACATTAGATCTACAGTTAGACAAGTCCGTCGACAAGCATCATCCTTCATGGCTAAGTAAGGAGCAAACCAGATCGATACAAAGCTCAATACTCTCGCTTCTGTTTGACACCGGCCACCGAGTTAATATTCATAATGCCTTTAAAGTTATTTATAACATTCCTTTTAACCTCACTCATGCTCTACGAGTTCGTCCTGACCTGAAGGCAGCATTTGACTAGGTCGATCATGACATATTGTGGTAGGGCCTGATTGTAAAGGGAGTACCGAGTAAGTATATAACACTAATCAAAGCTCTCTACTCTAACTCATGCAGCCATGTGAAGGCTTATGAGGAATTGTCATGTGAATTAACCACAACTAGTGGCGTCCACTAAGGATACCCACTATCACTGTTCCGACTAAACTTCGCTATGGACGTACCAATGGACATAATTCGATATACATCTGAATTCATAGAGATTGACCTGGAGGTCATCTGGTTGGTTTGGAGTATGAAAAGGATATTGTCCTGCTAGGTGGAGACGCTGACGCAATACAGGGTCTTGTGAACTCCTTGAACAGAAATCTGAGTATGTTTGGCTGGCATGCGTTTCGCTGGCATCTGTCAAATATGAGGTGATGCTCCAGGACTGCTCTGCGACCACTCCCAGTTTGAGTATGGGGCAAGAAGTAGTGGAATACATCGACCACTTCGCTTGCTTGGGAAGTTGAATCAGCCAGAACAGGGCTGGTTGCTGGCGAGCTCTCAGCTCAGACACAGAAGGCCCATTTGACATTTGCCAACATGCATCATCTGTGTCGCCAATGAGATATCCGACTACATATCAGCGGACAAGTATACTGCTCCGCAATTCCCTGACCTGTTGTGCGGCTGTGAGACATGGCTGTTAGCAGTAGAAGACTTGAAACGGATGCAGGTTTCTAACCACAGGTTTCCTCGCGTCATTGCTCACGCTTGGTGGAATCACCGTGTGAGCAATGTTGAGGTCAGGTGGAGTGTAATAGGCAAATCAGTTGGTGAGGTGGTGTACTTTCATCAGCTGAGATGGATTGGATATGTACTATGCACGCCGAACCCCAGTCTACCTTGACGTATCATGCTAGGGGGAAGCTGGATTAGGTTGAAAAAAGGGTTAAGGGTGGCCAGACCAAGACCTGGGACCTGTGAATGAAGATTGATTGTTGGTCTGAGCAGTGTGTGTATGTGGGGGGGGGGGGAGTTGACTGGCTAGCTCGGGTCCCCAAGACGACAGGAATCAATGGTTGCGGAGTCTCGTTGACATGATTGAAAGTCGGTCACAATGGCACAGATGTATTTACTACTTGATATCTAAAGTTTGAATATTTGCATTAACCATTATCTTCAAATTGTTGATTCTCTCACACCACTTAGTCTACTTCAGTATCCCCCTTTGCTGTCCAACTGTTCTTTGTGTATACTACTGTGAAGTGTGGCAACTTGAGGCAATGCGGTAGTGCACAAGAACTTATGTTCATTTTATCTGTCTGATTAATTTCCGTTTTATATCATCTTTCACCAGCAAGCGAATGCGCTTTGCAGCATACTACGAAGTATCCTACTAAGTAATGATGCTTTTCTTTCAGTAAGCCACTAATTAGGTCATCTTACCAAAGTTTTATTGAAAGATGCAGGAATGTTTATCCACTTTCATCAGCAAGACAGTAGAACACAAATATCATGCTATAAATATGATTGATCATCACTTACTATAGAAGTTAATGCTTAATAATTTTGTTGTTAATCCTTGGCTTTTGATCATAATCTGACATTTTGAATCGAAATCCACTCAGTAACCATGTGCAAGTATATGCAGTAGGAGATGAATCACACCTATTGTGTGAGGCCTAATGAAATTACTTGACTGTCCAAATCCCGGTAAGTGAAACAGTGTTGGAATCTGTGACTCACTGGTTGAAAGTCAACTGACTAAATCAGTGAGCCAGAGCTTCACCCCGACATGTAGTTACTAGCCTAATCATATCTCTTATGATGATCCATTGTTTACCTACCACCACTATCATGTTCAAAAGATATAAGAATCGGTTTGCTGGATGAACAGAACTAAAAGAAACTAAAGTCTATCAAATTATTAGATTTGATAAGCTAGTATTTCTATACTTATACACCTAGGTCTTTAATATCCTATGATCTATAACGCAAAACTAATCACTATTATATTTGACCACCTAGATGAAATGCACTTTATCGTCCTAGTATGACCTCACTAGAGATGGAACGCAGGACGTTTAGGTTTCATGGCCAGCATGTTGCCATTGAGCCACGAAGTCGGAATCCAATGGTCCATATTTTCAACTTCCGTTAGTTCACAACATAGCGCTACCACAGAATCTGAAGGTCGCAGGTTCGACCCCCGGCGGGGTCACAGGTGCGCACTGCTAGGGAGTCTCATACTAGGAGGGGACAGATGTCCAGTGCTCCCAGGTTTCCAATGTTCCTCCAACTAGTGTCAATCCATGATGAAAAATCACTAAATCCTCAAAATTAAATTGATCTAATGCTCATTGGTGACTAGCTTCGAGAGGTGATTCCTAAAGTTCTAATGAGAAGCCGTGACCAGTGGGGGAAACCTGAAGGCTGTGAAGACAACTAATCAACGATAACATTAGGTGGTGGTTGCGCTACGTCATGAACTGACAGAAGTTGGAAATATGGACTATTGGATTCTGACCTAGTAGCTCAATGGTAACATGCTGCCCACAGAAACTGAAAGTCGTGGGTGCGAAATGCATTTTAACCTACAATAATTTTCAGACTCCCATTTTTGAAAATATAACACACCGGTAGGCAATCATCTGTTACATATCATTCATCATATGTTTCGGATAATGATTTAACTGATAATTGATATAAGCAAATCACTGAAACGAAAAGCATCACTCAGAATGCTACATTTTCGATGCCAATATTTGCTCTTATCCATCATGTTCTATACAACTTTTGCAGGTAAGTATCTCATAAATCCAATCCTTATGTATTTGCAAGTTTTTTGTTTGGTTTTCGTATGCTAAAAAATGTTACAAAAACCAACTGATTTAATTGGATGGAAATAATCTCAGGCTAGTTAAGAGAAATGAGATAAGTTATTTTTAAGAAAAATAACTAAATAGAATCAAATTATTTCACTTCTACCACTAAATAGGAAAATAAACAGTGGAGCTGCGGCTTTAGGGAGGTGAATATGAACCAGTGGGTCGCGGGTTCGAAACCCGCTCCATCTACTGAAGTTTGGGCAGCCAGGTAGTATCACCAACCCTCAGACCATATGCGTCGCCCATTACCTACCGCAAGAGTGTGTACAAGAATGATGAGTGTGTTTCCCTTTATCACTAATTTACTAAAGGCCATGTTAAAACGTATTACTTCTAGTCGCAATACCTTAAATAGCAAATGGACTGCAATATTCAGTGACTAACTCTAGGAAGTGCGACTGATTGACTGACCTAAGGGTTCACCTACAAGCAACGGGTCCCATATTCAAATATCGTTGTATTTATTATGTGGGTTGCCGGTCATCTAATAATCTGTCGCAAATAAAGTGTGTCTAATATTCTGCTACAAAAACACGTGCTTAAGAGATGAAATCCACTAAGCATCAATTCAATTAACAGGAATAACAAGTGTAATTTGGAGAAAATATTTTTCCAAGCCGAATTCAAACTCTAATATCTGAGTTGTGCCAGCCTGAAGCTTTACCAATTATATTACCAGAACCAACTGCAAACCAGGTTTTATATTCAGTTAATTACCGACAGATTTTATCCACCTATCTTGTAACCACGCGATACACAAAGTTCAGCTTGCCAACTAAGGTTACCCGAGATAATCTAATCAACAGCTAGTTGGTCTGTTATCTGTATGGTCACCTGGCTTTCGAAAGGGATGAGGGGACCTGGTTGAACAAGTCTTATTGTAGTGAGCGTAGCTGATAAGAATGGATGACATAAGTAGTATATATCGAGAGGGCGGTATAAAACATAGGCAATTACCAGCAACGGGTAAGGATTCTGTCCAGAGAAGCGCAAGAGACAATGCGGGCGTATTAAGAGTAAATCAAGATAGAAGCAGAAGAGGAAATGAAGCACGTTATAAAAACAACTATCTTAGTACAAAGTGTACAATATTTGATGACCTCTGCACATGATGTCAATAACAAACATTTCTTCCCTCCTGTTCGAAGTTTCGTGCCCCAGAACTGCTGTATCGCAAGCTCCCTGTCCGCTGCGCTGTTGAACTCCGCCTCCAGGCGTCCAAGCATTCTGTGATAAGTTTCTTTCCCATACACGCGTTCCACGCCGCCATATGCTGCTTTCGCTCTACTCCTCAGCAACGTGCCAAGCACCACAACCTTCGCTCCAGGACCCCGGACACCCACCAGCTCCGCGACCGACTCAAAGTCCCTGAGGAAGACCTTGTCTCCATCCTCGAACACTGCGGGTTACCGGATCTTCCACAAGTCCAGAAGCAGCCGACACCGATTGAAGGAAACGAGAAGATGTAGACGAAGGAAGGAATGTTTATTATTGACATCATGTACAGTGGTCATCAAATATTGTACACTTTGTACTAAGATAGTTGTTTCCATAACGTGCTTCATTTCCTCTTCTGCTTCTATCTTGATTTACTCTTAATACGCCCGCATTGTCTCTTGCGCTTCTCTGGACAGAATCTTTACCAGTTGCTGGTAATTGCCTATGTTTTATACCGCCCTCTCGATATATACTACTTATGTCATCCATTCTTATCAGCAGCGCCCACTACACTATTACTATAAGCAGATAATAGTATACCACATAGTCATATGACCAGCAAGAATAAGCTCTCGGTGTTTAAAACGAACTTTTCACTAAAACATGAATTTGATGTCTAATATCGATATAATAGTAATGATCAGCGTAATACTGTACAACTAATTTCTTATCTAAAAGTATTAGGTGGAAACATAATATATGACACCTGTAGTGTGAGCATTGATGGGTTGAACTGATGATCTAATTAGATCGAAGTAGTGATTTCTCAAGGAAACTAATCCACGGTTTCAATTCACCAAGACAAAATGTGTGGACATTGAAATTATTACTTTTATTTAATGAGCGTAGATGCTCGTTTGTATACAGGAAACAATACTCAGAATTATCTTTGATCCTCTATTATGATCATTAACTGATAGAATAGAGAATGATTTCATTTCACTTCTTCCTTTTTTTTTACTGGGTAACACTATGGATACATTTCTTATAGATCATACCTTGATAGGTCTGTGGATAGCGAACTCCCAGCAAAATTTCACACACTAAGTAATACTGTTTCACTGTGTGACACGCTTAATGAACGAAATGAAATCCTAATCGCTGGGTCAGTATATTAGCAACTTCCAACTTCGTGAATGTTTGTATTTGGGAATTGATATTTAGTGATAACTTGCTAAAATCAGCACTGAATTTCTCTGATATTTCCGACAAAAATAACACAAATTTAATTTTAAAAACTGTATTGACCAACTTTAGTAGTTATACATACATAATCTTTTCACTAGGATACAACGAAGGGAAGAAGAACTTCGTAAAGCAACTGAAATGGCTCTACAGCAAAAAGATGAACATGTACGTCGACTAATTGAAGAAAAGGAGGCTAGAATTCAAGAAGTACGTATTACCTTATCAATATCTACGCATATAACAGTTCTAAACCTCTTAGTAATTTATATTAATGATGGATAGTGGTTGGCAGTGGAACCCAGGATGCGCGTTTCGTCCTCTTCGAGAATCGTCAGCCGGACGTATCTGCCTCCAAACGGGAGATGTTTTTCCCACCAAGACCTGAACTTGGGACCCATTGCTTTAAACGTCAGAGCGTTATCTACTAGACCACTGATTGACGATAGCCACTTCTTGTGTGACGGGCATACTTCTAATGTTGTTGCTTGTATTATGCCGTCGTTGAATGGACCGAATTGATCGGTCTCTATTCGTATATGGGCTCCTGGGCGGATGCCTCGATATTCCGTGTTTCAGCTGTATATTAATGATGGACAGTGGCTAGGAGTAAAATCCAGGACACGCGTTTCGTCAGCTGGATGTACCATGGCAATGATCATATTCGAAATCCTCAGAATGTTCTACTGTAAGTTATGATGCCGAATCGCATAGCAATATTAAACACATTTGTTAACTGATGTGTTTTGAGATTACGCAAGAACTTAGTATTAAAATGCATCCAACTAAGCTGCTACATTTTATAAGAATGAAGGAAGCGTCAATCAACGAAGTGAGAACAAGTGAGGAGACAAGAAACAAAAAGGCAGAGCGACAAAATATTTATGATTTGAATTCATTGATGTTATAACTATGGATTTTAGAGTCATTAACCGTCTATCATTTGGCTTTTGAAGATGTCAATAAGAAGTCTACACTTCTAAAAAAAAGCTTTGAAGCAACTGGTACCTTCGGTTCCTAGTGAAACATGGGGATTCAGTAGCACGTCTCCATTGTACTCTGTTCTCTGCAGTCTGCTTAACCTGGCTCCACGACTGCCCAGAAACTTTCATTTCTTTCTCACCCGATCTCCTCCATGTCATGAACTTCTGTTTTTTGGGGGCCCGATGGTGGAAAGGAAACGAGGAATGAACCAACACCACCGGGCCTGGTAGACCGTAGGCCATGGTCGAGTGTGATATTTTTGGAGTCGACCCTCACTTCCGCTGAGAAGACACCATTAGCATGGCACTGCTGGTCATCCAAGGAAAACACCTTACTGCTATCACACCCCATCCAGCTAACAGCAGTACGAATTCACCCTCACACACACACCCCCACCACCACCATCACATTGTAATAATTTACACCACAACGGTAACTACTCTTCGTTTAACCACTATCCAACAGACCTTTCTGACATGGTAGGACCTCGAGAGAACAAGCGTTCCACCAGCATAGCTCTTTGGGTCATTGTGATATGCAAGCCCGACCACCACGTCAAGGTAGCAGCTATCGGACTGGACAAGTATATTTTAAACCCATCGCATGCAAGGTTAGTGTTATGACTGAATCACTAGAATCACATGCATGAGATAATTACAACCTGGCAAAGAAGTTATAACATAAACTAAGGGGTCGACCACTCTAAGTGAAAAAAAGTTCAGACAAGACGTATTCAGTTTGAGTTTGTTTTCTTTCTCCATAACTCTTCATAATCAACTTATTCAGTAGTACGGAAAAGAAGGAATCACTTTCTTAGTCAAGAACAATTCAGTGCTATCCAGATACAAAAAAGACTAAGACAACTCATCAGATCTTACTGAGAACAAAGTTTGTTGATTGTTATTATTGTTATAATTATTATTTGTCCCTTGGGTTCCTAGTGGAACATAAGGCTTCAGTAGCACGTCGCCATTGCATTCTATTCTCCGCAGTCTGTTTAACCTGGCTCCACCACTGCTCAGAAGCTTTCATTTCTTCCTCACACCATATCCTCCATGTCACCCTCGGACGCTCAACTCGTCGTTTCTCATTTGGATTCCACTCGAGGGCCTGGTGTATGATGTCTCCGAACGGTCTACTCAGTGTATGTCCAATCCAATCCACCTCCACTTACTTCTGCATATTTGTTGGGCGATAACTTCTTGCTTCATTGTTTCGCTATCAGGTTACAGTTCCTTGTTGCTTATTCTTATTACTCTGGCCATCTGATCTTCAGTATCGAGTGAACGAGCGTAGGCAGTAGCTGTTCATGAATGTCTGTAGTTCGTTGCAAATGCTTTCCGTGACGCGCCAAGTCTCTCAACTATCTCTCACATTGAATCACTGACTTGACTGACATTAGTGTTGAGAATCCGGATGTTGTTCACACTTAATGCTGAGTGGAGTAGAGTGGAGTGGAATAGATCTCCACAGTAATTTCAGACTAATGAAGGTCTGTCTCGCTGTCTTTCCGATCCTGGCTTTGACATCTTCATCTGTGCCATCGCCGCCTGTAGTTGAAACGATGCTGCCTGGGTAGATGGGTAGGTGAAAGAGACTACTTCCTTTAGATTTCTCCCGTTGATGATGATTGATGCCTCTTTTTGTTGATGCTGTTGTTGTTTGGGTCTTCTCTACGTTCACTTGAAGTCGCATCTTCGCTGCCCTGCCTCTTCTGTCAACTTGTTAGTTTTCGCCTGTAGATCTTCGAGTTTGTGCGATAAGACATTAGACATAAATCGTGATCAGCGAAATCCAAATCTTCTAGGGTCTTCGCATAGGTCCAGCCAGCGTATGCCCGTCTTCTCGCTCCTCACGGTTTGCTGCATGATCCAGTCCAGTCCAGTTTAGTCGACCACAATCAGGAAGATCATCGGTGATAGTAGGCAGCAACCTTCTCTTACTCCTGTCCAAACTTCAAGGCATCACTGATCTTTCCATTGTCAATCACGCGGCATGTGGCGTCTTCATATAGCTGTTGAATAATGAGGCTGATAAAGGTTTGTGACACTAAAACCGTAGCGTTGAAGCAGCTGCCTGCCAAATTACTTCTCGGTCGATGCTGTCGAAGGTCTTCTCAAAATCGATGAAGTTGAGGTAGAGAGTTGACTGCCATCCTACGCTCTATTCTGTGATGATGCGTAGCGTTGCAATTTGACCCACACATGATTTGCACTTCCTGAATCCAGCCAGACTGTTGCAGTCGTAAATTTGAATCTAGTGCATGTTTTAGTCGCTCTAGGATGATGCGACCTAATATTTTGCTTGCTTCTGGTGGACAGGAGTATGATTCCGTGCCAGTTCCTGGAAAGACTTAGGTCTCCCTTCTTCTAATCAATGGGCTGTGTGTCGTGGAAGCGTCTTTTGTCTTTGTGCGCACTCCCCCTCACTTCTTCGTCCAGTGTAGTGTTTTATTGGTTGTGTTCAGTTCCTCTTTTCCTTCTTCATCCTTCCAAGGCACTGGTTTATCTTCTGCTACACCATCTTCTTCTCTACGCTCTATCAGCTCCATGCGTCTGCCGAAATACATTTCTAGTCTCATCTTGCCTCTTCTTCCTTACTAATACAGTTATGCAGGTTTCCGTCCACATAGCTTTCAAACAGTGCTCTTCCAGTGTTCTTCCACGCACGTTTCTTCACTCATGTTGCTCAATATCTCCCATTTTGTCCCCATGGCTGACTGACGTCAAGATATCCTTTGTAGTTTCATCCTTCAGTCTCTGTTCTGGGTGTTCAACTTCAACCGTGGTCTATCATCACCAACTTCTTTCAAGGCTTTCAACTTGATTTCACAGTTGGATTCCTTGCACTAGATATGCAGTGGTGTGAATCTACATCTGCTCCCCTTCGTCATCTGATCTTGTGTCCACTAGGCTGTCTCCATCTCCACTTTCTTCACATTGAAATCAAGTCGATCTAATTTTCAGTGTAATGTGTCCATCTGGCGAGATCAAATCCATATCTCTTGTGAATATCCTTGTACTTGTACACACTGCCTCACCTAAAATCACCAAGTCATTAAATGCTCAGAAATCTGTAAACAGTTCTCCATTCTCGTGCATTTCACTGAGTGCTTCACGACTCATGACGACTTCTCTTCCTGTGTCGTCCGCTCCCAGTTTGGCATTCATGTCACCCCACCCATCTGAATGAATTTTGATGTCGCCATCGCCAACTGAAGTCTTGTCTAGTACTGATTGCAGCTGTCTGTAGAGTTCCTCCTTCTTCTCTTCATCTGCACTATTTGTAGGTGCATAGCGTAGCGTAGTATTGTATGGTTGTGACTACTTTCCTCCTTTTGAGTTGAACCTTGCTGTCATGATCCTGATCCTGCAGGAGGAGACTGGTTCCCACTGCATGAGAGCCTTGGATGCTTTGGGGGACATCGTGATAGCCACTTGAAAACTCAGTGTGCTCGTGGTTGTCATCTGGGTGACAATATCGGAGTAGATTATTGACTGCTTTCTAGTTGACAGTTTGTAGAGTCCACTTTCATTCCATCTGCAGATTTCTTGCAGATTCGTAGCACTTCTGTGCTATACCTTCTCATCTCTTTTGCAACGTGGGCAGCCTTGTTAGGTTCAAAGATTGTGCGGACATTCTGTGCCCTTATGTTTACTTTCTCTTTCATCAAGAGAAGACATATCGGCCGATTGGCTTCCCGGCGTCATTTCGCCTCCTCGATTCCAGTGAGGATTAAGTTTATTTTAATGTTTTATTTTTTGTGCTTTTTAGTTTCTTTAGTGGTTAGATTGGTTTTACGGGGTAGAGTTGCTAGCCCTATGCTCCAACTTCCTCTTTATCCGTTCTTAGGACCGGCTAGTTACTAGTGCACTGGTTAGCTATGCGACGTTACACTGCAAAACAGTACGATATAACTTATCATGCTTTTTACGCCGATCAAACACTCATTATGTTTGAGACGTTCAAAAGGTGGAAGCTTTGCACATTTATGTTCCGTTAACTCTGTATATTGACCGAAAGCTTTGTTAAGCTTGATCAGTTTTAAAACTCATCATGTAAAATAAATGGTACCAAGAACTGGAGAACCAAAAGGGGATCAGTTGGTTTACATGATCTAATCCTACATACAATCAGACATGACTTTATTTCAGACACCAAAAAAACTGTATTTCGAATTCTAGACGAGGCATAATTCCTAATGAAGATTAGAATAAACTTCATATAGATTCATTCAAAAAATTTTAAGAATGATTATTATTCCGAATTTGAATGGCATTCGATACCTTCTAATTGAGTTTATACATAAAGAAATATATACACATCTTTTGTTTCTGAAAGTCTTTTGTGAATCCTTTTGCTCTGAGGTGCATTCGATTTCAGTCATAAGCAAAATTTGTACTGAATAACTTACTTAGGAATGCTCAACCTCTGCAGCACCATGTTTTTAAACACAGAATTCAATGTTTTCTACACTAGACAAGAAGCAAAAACACCGAGTAGTTCAGTAATTTTAAGCGTACTGTACCACAGGTTTGATCATGAGTTTCCTGAAGGCTGATGAGGATCAACTTTACTAATATTTATTACGAAACTCACTAATGAATGCAACGATTTAGTTGAGTGACTGATTGACTGACAAAATCAACGTAGAAGACCTCGCACACACGTGCACCGCCTCAAGTTGTCACACTTCATAGTAGTACACAAAGAACGGGTGGATACAGAAGGAGTGATTTCAAGGAAGACAAAGTAGTGTGAGAGAATCAACAAGTTGAAGATAACGGTTGATGCAAATATTCAAGCTATAGAAGATGAAAATGAGAGAATATATCTACACCATTGTGACCGACTTTCAGCCATGTCATCAAGAGTTCTCAACCACTGAATCGTTTTTTCTCGAGGATCCCAACCAAGTTGTCTAAATTTCCTCACACGACCCAGACCAACAGTCAGACTTCACTGACTGGTGCTAAACCTTGGCCTGGTCACCCTCAACCCGCTCACAATTTATCCTACCATGACATGTCGAAACCACCTCAATCGATGAAGGTTCACAACCTCACCAAATGACTTGCCTATTACGCTCCACCTGACCTCAACATTGCTCACACGGTGATTCCACCAAGCGTGAGGTCAAGAAATTTGGCAAGTTTAGGGCGCTGGCCAGTAAGTAAGCTTGTGTTCCAGAATCTGCTGGGGGGTAAAAATATGTTCATTCCACCCTCTGTTCAGGTCGGAAACCTGTGTGGTTTTCGAGTCTGCTGTTCTCGGATATCAGTTTGGCATCGGATAACTACGAATCCTAGAATCTTGAATGAAATAGTAGTCAAACTAATTTCTCTATGGTTGTCACAGGAAGCCTTCTCTCACTTCTTGAAGACTGGAATAATCAACGAAGCAGACCAGCGTGACGGCACTACCTCTGATTCTCATACACTACCTAGTACCTTTGCCACTCTTATCAGCAATATCCTACCTCTATTCGTGAAAACGACGGTTGGCAGATCGGCTCGTGACCATTGCGAAGACTCTTCGTCAGTTTATGTTTGAGGTGCTTTCGTTCTTCACCGTGGTCAGATCTGGCTGGAATAAGTCTTCTCGAATCAATCAATTCGGATGACATCGCGGAAATCCTATGACGTTCGCTAACCTTTGGGTGTAGGTTAACAATTGTCTTCACCACTGTTTCTACAGCAGACTTAATATGACGCCAGGTTTCCTGAGGACGAGGATTGCTGTTGTGTACAGATAACTGCTTAGCTAACTCTCCTCCAAATGCAAACTTGGCGTCCTCATCTAGCAATCGAGCATAGGTGGGCCTCAACGCCTCCTGTGGCTGGTAGGTTGCAGACATAACACAAGCTCGTACTAGCACGTGGTCAGAGTCCAAACCGGAACTACGAAAAGTGCGTCAATTCTCCACCGATACCCTCCAACGATGGCGTATAGCAATGTGGTCTATCTTTGTCGATTCTTGTTTTGAATTCGGCGGACATCATGAAACACAGTGGGTCTCCTTATACCTAAAGTTAGTGTTGGCCGGAAATAAGTGAGTAGAAGCATAACTTACCCTTTTCTAACCATTAAAAAATACATATCATTATATAATTAGTAAAAGTCTTTACCAATTTTTATCTTGCCAGTCAAGAAATTTAGCATTAGCAGCTGAACGTTTACGTGAAGAAATGATGAGGGTTTACAACTTGGATAGTTTTGACAAAAAGTTCAAAAAGTCACTTTAATCAACGACATGGGTTTAAATGGAAGACAGTAAACCTTCATTTCTTCATTATATTTCAAAGAAACAAAATACACGATAGAATATTTGATGAATAATGGCGTCTAAACAATGGGATATTGATAGCTAGCATGTATACATTCTGTATTCCCCTGATCTTCACGCATAAAACAGACAATACACACATACATGACAGGGAAAAAGCTAATTCCAATGTAATTTGACTTTATATTGCTTTCATTCGGTATATTTTATTACCATTCACCTTCTATACCGTGCACATATTCAATCTTATTCACGTAAGAATTTAGGTAATTCAAGTTAGCTAGCTGACTTAGTTATGGGGTTAAACAAGATCCCCTTTTTCCACAATTCAAACTTGAAAAGACAGAAGAAATTAACATTATGTACTGCTATTCTTGTTAATAATAACAAGTGATGTTTTTCAGTTATTGAAAATTTCCACATATTCTCTGAAAACAATTGGTTTTGTTTTAATTACTAACATTGCTGATAAATATCAATCCATTGAAACCTTTTATGCTTTACATTTGACTTTCGTTCACTTTGGATGTGAAATAGTTTCCTGTGACTTATTTTTTGTATCTTTTTTATCCTTTACACAGTACTATTATTATTATTATTATTCAAAGTAAAATGATAATTCTATTCTATCTCTTCATATCTTAGTTTTTATCAATGAATTTTTGAAAAGAATCTATTCAAGAAATTTGATCTTTGCTATTTTTTTTTGCTGTTCGGCTGACTAGTGACTTGATTAGTAATATTGAACAATAGTAGCACAAAGTCTCAAGTTGAGTGAAATTGAACAATGCATAGGAATTACTTGAATATGACTCAAGAGCTGAATAGCAAAAAAATCGTTCACCTACTTGGCTCGATTCTGTACAAAGTCGATAGTATGAAATACTGATACGTCTCAAAATCTAGGATGAAATAATTATCTTATGTTCCATGGTTTCCAGTGCTTACACACATGATTTTATGCCGTAGTTACAGATGGTAATCAGCTTTTGATGAGAAGCATCCTTCAGGCGGCATATTCTAAGTGTTACCAATGATGAGTAGTCTTGATCACTGGATGTACCTACCAGTAGATATCATGTTCACTACTCAATGTAGAAATAAAGTCATGGCTCCTTGGTTTAAATTTCCGTCTACAATCGACTGAGTCAAGAATCCGAATTCTGATGCATCTTAGAAATGGGAAAAATAAAATTCACCTAAACCCTTCTATTAGTTTGGGTTCAAAGGCATAACAAGCCATTAGGTTGCTTATATGATAATAAATAAGATGGTAATAAATCTACCCATTTTGAGTAATGTAAATAATAGCAGAAAAAAAAGTAGATAACAATAACTTTTGTCATGAAATTCACAGTAGAATCGCATATAATGACAAGCATATTGGATGGATGATAATACATAATGTTCCATAGAAGTGTATCGATTTAAATTGATATATTCTAGAAGAGGATAAAAGTTGAAGAAATCTAAAGAGATGGAATAGAATGATGCAAATGATAACATTCATGGGTTGTTCATATAGCGCACCTTCTTTACATATCGCTGAGTGATTTCAAAATCCTAATATCTACATAAACATGTTGCCAAGTCTTTGGAGTTGCTCACCTCCAGCAGTTAAGTTTAACAACAATCAGAAATTACACAAATATCAGTGCTATAAGTATCATGGGTTGGCAAGTGCCGAGAGAACTTTCTGCATTTGTCAAAGCACAATATAACCTCAATGTTGTCGCTTACGGCTATGTGTAATTCATCCATAGTCTTCTAATTTCTGAAGTGTTTGCTTATGATTTCTTTGAAACCGCTTACAAGAGTGTGTACTGATACTTCCAATGTCTGGTGTCCACGTTAAGTGCCAAAACATGAGCATCCCAATCTGCTGGTATTCTGAAAGCAGTATGAAGGATCCAGTTACTACCATTATTAATTTACCTGGCCAATATAGAGATTAAGTGCCTGCAAATGCAACGACTTCAATTCTTTTTCTTGATAGTTTATGGGTACCAATAAGTTTATGAACAGAAAGCTTAATCCTTGATTCAATTCTATATGACTGTAACCCGTATGCTATTTGTCGAGTAGTACGAAACCTAGACCCGTGGTTTCCTGCCGACTGCCTCCAAACAATCAACACCAGAAAAGCTCCCTCCATAAAATTTAGGATTGCAGAGCAGTTCTTGGCGATAATGTTGTATCGCATTTAGTTCGGTGTTGTATGAGCTCAGGGAACACCAAACAATCATCATGCCAAGTTACAAGTCTTTTCTACCACTTCAAAAAGTATCAAATTTGTGTTTTGAATGAGTACTACAACTCATAATAAGCTCTGTCACTTTTAAATCTCAAACTCTAAAAATAAAAGTAAAACTATACTCGTTTTTTCTGATGTTGTACATAATTTATTCATGTATAGAAGTCAAAATTCAAGTAGCATGGCAAATAAAAATATTCTGTACAGAAGTCAAATAAGAACGGAAAACGCTGAAAAGATAATTCAATACTCTCATATGAAAGAGATAAGAATGAAACTGGAGATTGCAAGTGGTTGGAATTTAAGAAGATCTTTGAAATGGTTATTTTTATCATAATTTAAGAGATTGGAACTTTCATGAATAGGTAGTGATTATATTATGTACGATAGTAAAAAATATTTTAATTTAAAATCACATACCGGGAAACATAATGAGCGGTTCAACTTTTGATGATACACACTGAATAAATCCACTTTCTGAATTGGTTCCACCACATTCAGTCATTTGATTTGGTGGATAATTACCGACAGGACATCGAGTATCAACTAACACGGATATATTGGAAGTTTGACTCAGTGCATGAATTATGGAGGTGGAAGTGACCAGTGAATTACTGGATCCAACATGACTCAGATTACTAGTTTCAATATTTTCATTAGAAACATAAGTTGGAATAGATGTGGATACGGATGAAACGGGATTGATGTATGTTATTGACGTTTGTAAGGAATCAGAATGATTTCTGAATGCATCAATGTTTGAATCTGTGCTAGACTGGGATTTGACTTCTGTTAGAGCAGATGATGAGACTAAAGGAATTAAACTATTTATACCTATTATATTTACACTAGTAGGATCTTTTGAATTAGTTGACATATCAAGAAGATGTTCGCTAGAACTGACAGATTCTTTAGCAATACTATCACAGTCATCATTGATTTCTGATTTAGACATAGTTAAACCTCGACGACGAAAAACAGAATGATGACTGCCTCCAGTTACAAGTTGCTTATAAACTGTGCATGATTTTCTGAAAATAAGAAAATTTTGCATCATTACAATCCTGTACAGACACATATTGCAAAGGATCTTGAAATTTAATTAGTGTCCAAGATGTACAGTCTCTTTCAGTTAGTAGAATCAATCATTTATGCAAGTTAAATAACGCTATTGACATTTCCGTAAACTAACTGAATACATATATCGTATATTGTTTTATGCATTACTCAACCTTTTCCATATCCTGCTATTTAAATATAATTGAAAAAAATGTAGCTACATAGAGATCAACAAATCATACAGTAATCATCCCCAGTAGTATCTCAGAAACATGAAATGGAATGCCGAAGAGAACTTGGAGTAATTGCTATTCTTTTCCAAAATGTTGGTATAAGTAATGCCTCCGAATTTTTCGCATACAAACCTACAATTAAGTATTTTGCTAAATAACACGAATTGAAAAAGTAGTGAACAACCTCAGGAAATTTAGATTGAAAATTTAGTAAGGAATTAAGTTTCCCACCTTCGCATAAAGAATTCCATTCCTATAAAAAAAAATACGTGTATTATTAGCCAACTGAGAGTTGCTTTCTTGCAGTGGTGGTTAGACGTACATACTATAATGAACTAGTGAGCTATGCTGGTTGAACCAATTATTCTTTTAAGGTTCTATCATACCAGAAAGGTTTGTCGGACGATGCAGTTTCTGTCACAGTGTAAATAGGCTACACTATGAAGAGGGCCTAAGGAAAAAATAATAATTGACTCTACTAAGTGTGGTATAGAAAGTTATTTTTCACGAATAATCCAGAACTCGATACTGATATTGCCTTCTCTTATCGGAAGAAGGGATCGTCGGTAGTTGAACCTATAAACAACACACTGTTTCCTCCACTGCAGTCTTTCAAGGTCAGAGGTAAGATTTCTTAGTCCAGTTGTAATATAATCAAGTCTGAATTCAAAACCCTGAAAATGACCATGTATGGACAGATTCAAACAGATGCCACTCAACCTCTGTATTCACGTATCTAGGTTGATTAAACAAACCTTACTGATCCAATTTCCTTTCCGGACACTTCAGGAAAACTTCTATGGTGCGCTCAACTGTCCTCAGTGCGGCATCTACATATGTGTGGACAATAAGTTAAATTGACGAAAGGGATAACAGAGGGTATGTCAACATGAATTAATAATATGAATAAAAACAGTGAATAAGTTTTTAAGTATTTGGTGTTTAGATTTTACACTTTTCGCTAGTGATTTTACACCGTTTCCAACTTCTGAACCGAGATTCTTTCATTTTTCGAAACTATTCATCAAAATAAACAGCAAGCCTTATGTCTAGGACTAGTTTTGCATCTTGTGATTGTGAGATATGAGCATGGAACTCAAAATTGTTTATTCACCAAAACTCTCCTGGTTAATGCAGTGAACAAGCAAAATCCACAATTTGAGTTTCTGAAGATTTCTCAGCTAGTTCTATCAATCATGCAGTTGCAGGTACAGCAGTGAATCCCAGACAAGAAATCTGAATGCCTGAGTCCCAGTTAACAGTCATATTTAGGTCGTGCAACTAGGTATTACATTGGAACTAGGAAGGACAATGACACGCCGCTGGTGACATGTCCACCGAGTGCATTTCGGACCAAGCAAAGAAGGTTTCACCATAAACTGTTCAGTCTCCTACTTAGAACCGAACATTCAGATGCAGTCGATGTAGCGGGTGATTTAAATGCACAGTCAGCAGACCGATACATAGAAAGGTACCCAGGTGGTACTTTCGGAATCCCAGCCGAATGAATGGATAATGAAGACCAACTGCTTCAAAGATGCTGAGATAAATATTTCCAGCAAGCACAAATTTCAGATGTGCACAGAGATACTGTCTGATATGCTATTTATTGACTCCGAATTAATGGTAGACACACCAAGGCCATATCACTACTAGTTATTGTCGGAGAGTGTCAGTGACCTTTCTGGCGAGTGTTTGGATAGCGACCAAACTCTATTTCGAACTCGCCAATATGTACCATAATGGGTGCAAGAACACTACAACTGGAGGACTATTCTGCGCAAAGTTCAATGGTTTAAAGTTCAAAGGGGAAGTGATTGAGCAGTTATCGTAACGTGACAACGTTACTCATTTAGAACAAGCCAGAGGTACACATACTTTCTATCGTAAAAGTAACGACAAAGGTCATAACTAACCTTCAGAAAATACTTACACACGGTAGCTAAATCTTAGAACCTCCATCCGAATTAATGAACGCGAGTGAACGCATTTTTACAGCAGTAGTAAGTAGTAGCGACAGGCTACAGTAGACAGTTATTGAAATCGATCAAGGAAATATTCAGGCAAAAACGTCAGTGGTTAGTGATACCATAACCGAATAGGATGGGTTTGCAGTTTACTCGCATGTGAGGTGACTGAAATGATAGGTGGAGCACATCAACAAGCATCTCAAGTAACCTATGGCTATTCTATGGTTGCTTGCTATCTGATACCATCTTGAAAAGAATATTACCAGAGTTAGGAAGAAGAGCAACGGGTCTTAATACTCAGAAAAGTCAACTGATGATTATAGGTTGGATTGACTTAAATCTTAGCTAGACCATAAGAAATCAAATAATTCCATCTGACTGATCTCAATCACTGATTGTTTCAGTCTTCAAAAAAAAGGAGAAAACTGAAGAGAAATCACTTTGATGAACAGTGTCAAAAATTATAGGTTCTACAATCATTGCAAACTTCAGTGGAACTTAGAAAGCACATCAGATTTTACACCTAGTCACCGACTTGTTAACGAAATCTTTGCCGTGTACTCAATCTTGAAGCACAGATCACTTTTTGGCACCAGCTGTATTTCAAGGTGATGCTGGGTCTTATCGATTGAGAGGTATTATGACAGTATGTTTCACTATAAGAGATACCACACCACCGTAGACTAAATACCCGAACACCAGTGGTCGTCGTAGGGTTTGTGAAGAGCTATTAGGTGAGTCGTTAGCATTGAACGGTGTTTGTCAACGATACTCAATCTTTCCAATCTACTGAACAAAGATTCGGTTACCAATCTCTTCTTTTAGCCAAGTTTTTAATAGTGTCGCTCAATCCCACCCTACTGTGCGATTGTATGCAGAGCTATAGCCAAGCTTTGTTCTAAATTCTTCATCTTAGTAGGATCTACTAATCTTGATTTAGCTGAGCTTTTGTGCTCTGTTATTTTAATCGACTCTGGTCGACTACTTTGATCTATGTATTTCACCTAGCAATCATTTTGCTAGGGATTTGGTAAACCAGATTATTTTGCATAATTGCATGAATAGGATCTTTTAGCTTGTTTGTAGGCAAGTTTATTGGTTTAAATGTCACCTCAGCCCCAAGCCTTATTAGGAAGTCTTTGTAATGCTTCTCATGTGTCTTCCTTGTGTGGTAACACAGCAAAGGCTTTGAATTCTCTCCGAAACCTGTCATTCATACTACTATTAGTAGAATTATTACTATTATTATCAATTAAAATCTACCACAGTGCCCAAATTTTACTCCTATATTAATGAAACTTCACTTGGCTTTACGAAGATTGATCTCATTGTACGAGGCCGTTCTTAGTAGGTTTAGAGCATATAGATGATATACAACTGTTAGGTGGAAATGCCAACAACATGCAGAGTCCCCTGGACACTGAGCGACGATTTGAAAATGTTTGAGATGCGTTTCCCACCATAGAAATGCAAACTGTTGTTTTACGATCGGTTTGATTCAGTGCCTCATGTGACTACAGAGTCGAGTGGCTGACTGCATTGATCACTTCTCCTACTTCGGAAGTAAGACCAACCTCTACAGGTCAGTGACCGACGATATTTCTGCACGAATATGAGTCTCTAGTGACTTTTGCCAACTTACGCCATCTATGGTGTCGGTGTAATATTCAGTTGTCTAGAAACGACCCAGTTTGCTGAATTTTATATAGCCGTGAAACACGATCATTAAACGTGGAGGACTCGATGATTCAGATGATCAACCCTCTCGACCTTCGTAGCATTGATTATATCAATCCAAATTGATAGATGACTTGTAACATTTGATTTATACAGGTTATGAATTATCTACGTAGATATACAAAGATTATTCGGCGTAACTTATACACAAGAACAAATGCTCTCGTGGTCCATACAATGAAACAGAAAATTACTTTCATCACTACGAAGAAACCCCAAATTACACAGAACACTAACCTATGTGCGTAGAAATTCGATCGCCATTTACAAACACGGCCACATGGGCAAGTTAACTGCAAAGATTTTGAACAGGAGAAAACATGCTCTGCAAAATATTTCCGCTTGTGATAGGCGTTCCCACAGTGTGTACATTTATATGGCATTAAACTGTTGTTGACTTGAGATGCTTAAAGAATAAAAATAATTAAACAGCAAAAATCTAATGATTACAACTATGATGTGATCCCCTGGAAAATTGACCACCACTTTCTGTTCCAACCTAGATAAAATAAAAGTTAAAGCACGTATTCACCCACCCACCCCCAAAACAAATTAAACTACTTACTGAATGTGAAGTCATTTCCCCATCTTCTTGGCTGAGATCAACAAATGCATTTCTTTTATCCCCCATAAATAATGATTTGGCATCATGAAAATTATAGTTTAATCCTAAGAAGAATACAATTAATCGAAATATAAGAAAAAGCAAAAAAATACTAAAAACCTGATGGATAATCATAGGATAAATGCCTGGTCAAATTTGGACTGGCATTTTTGATACCATGAAAAGCGAAATAATGTAAGGTTAAATTTTTAACTTCTTTAGCTCTGAATGAACAAAGCAAGCATTCGTACATTGGTTCACCAGTAAAGATTGGATTTCCTGAATGATTTTGATATATACATTGAATAGATACCTAGGATTATATGTTTATAACGTTTACTGATAAATATACTTACCTCCTTTTCTATATGATTTATTAACGAGTGTTCAGTAAGAACTGGACAAGATGTAGATATTAGTTGACAATGCCGACATTGATATAAACTGAACAAACAATTTGCACTCGAGTGGGCAGTCTTAAAGTGATTGATTAGATTCGATAAAAGGAGTGTATTGAAGGAACAATAGGAACAATGTAATACGAGTATACAATTTTGGTTAATCATTGGGCATTGCATTGCAGCATGAAATTTATAACATAGATCTGTTAAATAAAAAGAATTAGGATAGTTCTGTATTACCAGGAATATATACAATCTTTCGGTGAACTACAATTTATGAATACACATACATATTATTAGTAATAAACCCTTGATTAAAATCAGACACTATTCAACAATCACTACCGTCAAAACTTACCTATTTTTTCTTCATGAGTCAGATTACTTACCTCGAAAGTCTTAGGAGTTATCGGAACTTTTGTTTATTTCTATCCCACTTCATAGTTCATGAGATCTATCCCTAAAACTGATTCACTACTAATCTACTAGAGATGTTTTATAATGTAGACTTAGAGAAAGCTGCCGGCAAATCAAATTCATAACGGGTGTTTCAAATTCCATACACAACTGTACTTTTCTTGTGGATTCACTTTGCACACTTTAACGTTTCTTACAATATGACAGTATAGAGCAATAAAAGTAGAAAAAAGTAAGAAATAATAGAAAACAAAAGCTTTCGATACTTTTTACTGCTTCACAATATAGAAGACAAAAGAAACTATAGCATTATCACTATCTGTTTCAGTTCCATTCCATATTTGATAACGTTTGAAGATTCACCATACATATATTAGTGACCGGTCAATATATGAAATGCACTTAGCAACCTTGTGCACATTCGTGTTATGGGTAGTGAGCCATACCTATTGTATGTCAGCTAATGATATTACCTGGCTGTCAGAACCTCGACTAGCGGAGCTGGGTTCGGAATCGCAAATTGATGGTTAAAAGGTCAAAATATGTCGACCCAACAAATGTCGTCCACCTCATCGAACACCATAAACTATCTTCTTTTTCCATTTAGTTCCAATACTAGTAAAGAGCGATCTATTTGGCATGAAAAAACGTGGTCAAGTGCCAGAATCACCTACTGAGTGGCGAAATCCATTATGCATAATATATAATACACGACTTTTCACTGGATGTCAGCAGTTTTATGGTGACAGTGGGGATCAAACACAGAGGACTGCTGAATAATATGTGTCATACAAAAGTGAACTAATTCCTATATCGAACTGTTGCATTCACCGCCTTCAACAGTTAAACCAGTCGTGATAAGTCTAATGGTGACAAAGACTAGTACACGGTGCTCTGGTTTTCATCATGGTAAAAAATTCCATTTGTCGTATTGCAAATAATAGCCACACAAATATCCAAATACATGAGTTCTGCACCTATTTCCAACGGTTTGTAGCTTGAAGTAAGAGCAGTCCTAGACTCTTCCTAACCATTCCGAAGTACTTTCAATACTAGTAATGCGAAATACGCATGGTACTCAAAGTTCAAACTAATTAGGTGTATTCTAGTAGCACACACACACACTACAGTTACAACGACATACGTATTTGGTGCAGGTTTCTACACTAGGCTGCCACACATTATGAGGGCTTATTATGCTACCCGGTTATGTAAGCCGTAGGGGCTTGAGTCAGAGACCAATTGTTCAAAATTCTAGCTTTAGGTCAATAAGCTATATCCCCCACAGTTTGCGTACATAAAATATGAGGAATATGTCTTGGTAGCAAATGCACAATATTATGTAATTCTTTTAAGCGTATCTTAAAAATAGGAATCAAGAAATTAAAAAGGGCTGGTTAAGTTGTGAAACCCCATCTAACCGTGCTGACTGTTAACAAAAATGGAGGTGATTGTATCGTCTTTCTATTTGGAACGCGAATGAGGTCATGGAAATCTTTTTGTACCAGTAAATCTTGGAAAATCAAAGGTAACTATGACATCGGGAAACGTTAAAATTCTCCTGGATGTGACAGTTTTTAAGCACTTCCTGGAGGATGAACATGTATCAACAACCTGAATGAAATCTGGTCTACCTCTCAAGAATTAGTTTTTCCAAGTACTTCGCATCATCGGCAAATTGTGATAGAAGCAAACATTTTGGACTGTACCAGTGAGAATTGAACTATGATGAGCTTTACTTACATCATCAGAGAGCTGTAAAAAAACCATCGCAACTATGCGAACTATGGAGGACGTCTCCATTAGTCACATGAACCACACTTCAGGTGTGGTGACTTATGATGCTAATCGATTGCTCAGGTCGTAGCAGGTAGAACTGGGTTTGAAGAAGAAGCAACTTGATCGGAAAACTGACTACTTTTTGCATTGTCACACTTCTTTAAGAACCATAAACTAACACCTCTGCACTTCCACATAGAACCGAAATGATAAGGTGGTAATCATCACAGACTGACATTAGTAGGAGAATCAGATTAAAAAAAATTTAATACAGGACTTAGTATTATTGCGTAAAGGTTCACGTTACTACAAGTAACAGTGAATCAAGCGAGAATGCAGTAAGAAAGAAGGTCAAGAAATAGAAGCAGTTAAAAGTAACAAAAAGTGGTCAAGACAGTAATAAAAGAAGAGAGAATACTGGAATTAAATTTGGCGACAAAGATGAAGATAATGTGTGGATACATCAGCTCCTTTCCAGGTACCTCAAAAAGAACTAGCCTTCCTTGGCGTTGGCAACTAAGAAGTGTCAACTACCTCCATAACCATGTCAGTACTTAAGTTTCTTGAGATTACTACTCACCTTTCACACACCTACCAACTGTAGCCATGATGAAGTGAAGCGTGAGTTTTCCGGCGTCTGTCAAATCACAAACACACCCGTGTTCAAATCAATGCGTGGTTGATGTCCAAACACGTGCTGCAGAAGAAGCGGAAACTTTTCACTGAGCAACTTCAGCGATAAGTGAGAGTAATTTGTTCTACCTGTGTTAGCTGATGAGTTGAGGTCAGTGGATGCTATGTCAAACAATGTTTTCCCTTATTTATGAAGTTCATGCTAGCCGGAAATAGATGGTTGCTTGACCACAATTGTAGCAGGCGATTGCCATCATCTGTTAGTTCGACAGGGATTCTGAAAATGTCACCTAAGTGCCTTTTTGCCTGACTTGGCTCCCATCCACTTGAGCATTGAAATCATCTGCAACGAAAATCACGTCTGAAAATTTGGCTTTAAGTAGGCGGTTAAACAGTTTTCGATAATACTCATGCTTCACTTCGTCTCGGATGTAGTCAGTAGATGTGTGAAAGGTGAATATTGATCTATCGTAACTGGAGAACTTATACAGTAGTGGGGGTGGCTGACACTTTCCGGTTGTCAATACTGTGGAAGCTTAAGTCTTTTGAGTTACCTGGAAAGGAAGGGTTAATGTGCTACCGCAGAGTCCAAGGGATACTTGTTCGTGGGCGGTTGGAGAACGACTGAAAACCTGGAAGCATTAAATAGCTGTTTTGTTCCAGTGCAGGACACCTTAGCAGCCCGCATCCCTTGACCAGTCAGGTAATGAACCCAAGTCCTTCAGGTCCAATGGTGATCATGCTACCATTCTGCCAGTCTCGGAATGCTGGGCCAACAAAGTCGGTTGTGAGAACGAACTCACTGATAGCATTGTATGATGAGTAAGCTATATATATTTGGAAACTGCTTCAATACTACGGAATACCACAAACCTTTATCAGCCTCATTCAACAACTATATGAAGACGCCACATGCCAAGTAATTCACAATGGGAAGCTCAGTGATGCTTTTGAAGTGAAGACAGGAGTAGAACAAGGCTGTCTACTATCACCCATGATATTCTTCATTATGGTCGACTGGATCATGCAGCAAACAGTGGGGAGCAAGAAGAGGGGGATACGCTGTACCGGGGAAAGGAACCTGGAAGATCTGGATTTCGCCGATGACTTATGTCTGATGTCACACAAACTTGAAGATCTACAGGCAAAAACTAACAAGTTGTAGGAAGAGGCAGGGCAGCGAAGACGTAACTTCAAGTGGATGTAGAGAAGACAGAGGTGATTAAGATACCGCACCAACAACTCCAACAACAACAACAAACTCCAATCACCATTAACAGGAGAAAAGTAAGGGAGGTAACCTCCTTCACCTATTTAGGCAGCACTGTTTCAACTACAGGTGGCACAGATGAGGATGTCAAAGCCAGGAAAGGAAAGACAGCAAGACAGGAGTTCATTAGCCTGAAACCAGTGTGGAGATCTTCTGCACTCAGCAAAACGAACAAGATCCAGATTTTCAACACCAATTCAGTCAAGTCAGTGCTTCTGTATGGTTCAGAAACTTGGCGCGTTACGAGAGGCATTTCAAACATACTACAGATACCAGTCAACAGCTGCCTACGCTTGCTCGATACTGAAGATCAGATGGCCAGAAATAATAAGCAACAAGGAACTCTGGGAACGAACCAACCAAGAACCCATAGCTCAACAAATATGCAGAAGGAAGTGGAGATAGATTGGGCATACACTAAGAAGGCCGACTGGGGACATCACTCGTCAGGCCAGGTACTCGAGTGGAACCCCGATGGGAAGCGACGAGTTTGGCGTCCGAGGGTGACATGGAGGAGATCGTGCATGGAGGAAATGAGAGCTTGTGAGCTGTCGTGGAGCCAGGTTCAAAAGAGTTGAGAGAAGAGAGTGGAATGGTGTGCTACTGAAGCCCTATGTTTCATTAGGAACCCAAGGGACAAATAATAAAATAATAATATTGACCAAGATTCATCTGTAAATCCGCAAGCTAAGTATTTGAAACCACAAAATGGGATTGGTAAGTCCAATTACATGACAAAAATATAAAAGAGTACGCGCAAATCGTCATCTTCATCTGTGGTTTTAAATAAAGCGTCTCAATCAACCCAGAAGAACAAATTTCACATATCGGTCCCACACCTTAGTTCCAACTGTAAAGATTTTTTCAAAACAACTACACCTAATTTAATACTGTAGGCTGAAGCACCATACAGTATGGGAATATTAAACCATTATCAACCTCATCGTGAGCTATAGATCTTTTTCAACATTATGCGAAGGCTCAGTACCCAACATCAATTTTTTTTTCTGTATTCACCATACGCCCAGTTACGAAAACTGATCTGCAGTGATACTCAACTCAAGCATATGAAGTTGGAAACCAATCGAAATTGTGTAGTGTACCTTCTTTATCCTCTGAGTTCTGAATATCCTGGTCCCCATTTATCCATTAACCCATCACAACCTCTTCATTTTGATACCTTACTTTTCATACCAACTTTCATTTTAGGCTATTGTGTGAACTATGCTGAGTTTAGCTGTCACCATATTAAATAATTGTTTGATAAAGCATACAGTAACATCAGTATTTACTGGATAATATTTCGAGCAAAAAATAGTGCTCAAATCACTTTTGTATGACAATGAGCAATAACTTGTAGCGGAAATGTCACCCAGCAAATACCACTGTGATGTATTCAATGAGCAAATCTAATATGGAAGCAGATTTTATAGATACACAAGTTTTGAAATTGAAATCGTCATAGTTTGGTCCTGTGTCCTACGTTATTTTGTCAGTCACATACATTCACGATCGAATGCATATGAGCTTTTAAGGATGTTCATCAATACCCAAATCTTAAAGATTAAAGTTGACATGATAATCTGGTAGACAATCCCCTCTGAAGTCAGAAATAACAAAATAGACTTCATCTCGATCACAGCACGATAGCTTGGAGTCCAGCAGAAAAACACATGATTAGCACACAAGAAGTAAATGAACTGACCGCTACCTTCGCTTCTCAACAAGGAAGTGGATATTACAAAAAAACGGTAAGTGAAACCAAAGGTTTAGATGCATTCTAATGCAGTGGGTACTCAGTATTAGTTGACGCATAACACAAACAATCTCAGCAGAAGTGGATTTGTTCAAGTTGCGACGTACCACAGTAGCATACAAAGATGTGGGTAGACGAAACAGTGATATCAAGATAGACAAAGGTGTACAAGAGGAAAAAGAATCTGAAAACCAAGACCAATGAAAATGTCCAGCCTTAATGAGACGTAAGAGTGAGTAAATCTGCGCCATTGTGACCAACTGTCAGACGTTTAACCAAGAGTCTCCAACCCCAGATTTTCACTATGTTGAGGGTTCCAGCTAGGTGACCTGCACCTCACTACACAGCGTAGACAAACAAAGACTTCATGGACTGGTTCCACGTCTTGGTCTAACCAACCTGAGCCTTTTTTCAACCTAATCTTACTTCCACTAACGTTCCACGTCGATGGAAGTAGTTGTTCGGCATGCCCAAGACATGTGCAAGCCACCTCATTTGGTGAAAGTTCACAATCTCATCAATTCCAGTCAAACCCATCGGGTCTGTGAAGACAGGAAGCGCCAGGAACAAGCCCAAGCGAGGTAATATGGAAACGAGGAAGGCGAAAACTAAGTCTGAAAGTGAATCAAATGACCAGTAAACCACGCGAGTCACTCACAAGCTTGTCAAACAAGCAAATAAATTACCCAAGAACGATGTCAAAGTTAAAGAGGAAACGATAGTTCAATAAAAAACACCCAAGCGTCAACAGTTGATGAAGCAAACCATTGTCCGAAATGATTCTTTAGTTATCAATAACTTGACAAAGCCCTGATTTCGCATACGACCTTCAGAATAAGAACGATAAGGTTACGTGAAAAAACATGCAGAAAATCTAAGCTGGATCACAGGCCAGTCGCTGCAACTACGCTCTCACACGGTCGCGACTCAATAATTAAGGATAAGCCTCGACTCAAGGCTGACATTCTCCAACTCAGATGATGTTGAGGATGTGTTGTTGACATCTCAGGTGCTAAAAGCTAAAGGGGAAGTAAGGATACTACCCGATGCTCCACTCTCTGAGAAAATGGCTATAAAGAAACTCTCCGGCGACAATCGCAAGGTATACATTAAATGGAGGCGCTCGATAATACAGGGCATACATGAAAACTTAGGTCTCAAAGATATTCACTACGGTTTCCGCGATTGGAAGTTCCTTAAGAACACTATGAATCTCAAGGGAATAATAACACAGAGCGTCTCGCAGATGTCGAAAAGGTGACCCCAGACCGAGGCTGATCAAAGTGGTCTTTCTGGCCTCTAAAATGGCATCATCCAAACTGGGGGCATTTTGGGGGAACAGAAATCGCCTGCCAACTGGTCGCAGAACGAGAGGCTACAAGGAAAACAGAAAAGGTTGGGGCTGAGTGCACCTCTGATAGACTGCTTGGATGCAAAAAAAGGGGGGAAAGCGCAGGGAACATTACACTGGTAAGCAGAACTTAGGCAGGTTCCCAGCCCCCTACGCCCGAGGGTAAAGCCAGCCAAGTGCACAATTAACAGGGCTTAGAAAGTGCGTTCCACATAGATAGCATAAATTCCATTTATACAAACGCCAAAAGTTCGCCGAATGAACTCGATGAACTGAGGGAACTAAGTAAGGACACTCATGCTCATCTTATAGGTGTTACAGAGACATGGGTTTCTCCTGATGTCAAGTCAGGACCTTGCAGTTGCTTACACCACGCTGTTTCGCAACGACAGGAAGGCTGGCAAGAAGCGTAGGGTAGCACTTTACATTAGCTCTTCTCTCACAGCTCACCAAATCCACATTCAAGTATTAGAATACCTTAAGGAGTCCATCTGGTCCTCAGTAAAGTTGTCCAAGACTATAAATTGCTTGGTGGAAGTCATTTATAGGAAGCCATCTGCTGACGTACAGTATGATGATCAGCTACTTGAGGTGATCACTTGCTCTCTCAAAAGTGGAAAGTACTCGATCCTTGGAAAATGGGCCATATAACATCATTCTTCAAAGGAGGTCAACGAAGCAACCCAAAGTATAGAATGGTGACGCTTTTATCCATACCTTCCGAAGTAATGGAATCGTTAATCTGTAATGAACTGAGGGGTGACTTTGGAACGACCAACCGAGGTTGAGGTCAAATTGATGTTGTTTATCTAGACTTTGCTTAGACGTTTTATAGTATTAATTACGACTGCTTTATTGATAAAGTAAAATCAATCGGGATAAGACCAACCCTCATTTATCGGTTGTCTTCATAACTACGACGTCGCTTATTTAGAGTTTGAGTTTCTTTATGTCTGAAGAAATATAGTGTCTTAGTAAACTTTCCCAAGGTTCCGTACTAGGGTCTCTTTTTTCCTAATATACGTAAACGACTTGCCCCAACAGGTTTCTTCTGAAGTCCTTATATTTGTTGATGACGTGGAAATATGGAGAGGAATTGAAAGTGAGGGCAGTTCCCCTACAGGAAGACTTAACTTCAAAAGTGGGCAGTCAATAATGGGCTTGCATTTAATCCTGAAAATGTAAGGTTACACGTAAAACATGATGCACGTCATGTATACAGCCTCAACGTCATGGGACTTGAAGCATCACTGACATAGAGGAATTTGGGCGTTTTAGTCCCTCAAGACTTAAAGTCCTATGCCAATTGTGACAGAAACGTATTTCGTGGAAAGTTGGCTTTAGTAACCCTTAAACGAGTTTTTGGAAAATTCGACCGTAGGTTTTCACCAAATTTTCAACAGCTTCATACGGTCTCATCTGCAGTTTAGGACTGTCATTTCTCCTTCTCTGCAAAAGGTCAAATAAAGCTTAGAACCCATCCAGAGGCAGTCGATCAAATCCTTCCCGAAACTTAGGTCCAAAATATATGAAGAACGACTGGCTACGCTGAACCGATATCTCGTAGAACAAGGTTGACTAAAAGGCGACTTGATAATGGCTCAAAACATCCTCAACACCGTTAGACACCCTCACTCCCATTTATTGAATCTCAGCTGTAGCATCAACCTTAGCGAATACATTCAGAAACTAAGCCTGGAACATAGCAGGTTGGATATCAGACACAACTTGTATTCCCTAAGAGTTGTTAAACTCTGGAATACTCTTCCTGCAGAAGTGATCCAGGCTACTTTGTCTGAATCCTTTAAACGCGGCCTTGATACTTACTTGAGATGTGGGTGGGATTTGCTCAAAACGAATTGGATTTCCACATCTTAACCGCTACTTTTCAATCTCTTTACTTGTACACAGGTTAACAACTACAAGTGACTCGCGAATTCTAGAGGTACAAGTCAGTTAAGTGAGAGCTTCTTCTATCCCGTCAACGAACATTTGAACAGATTTTCTTTCCATATCTAATACCCTTCGCTTAGCCTAAGTACACGGTGACTACACAGAACATGAAAAATGCTACGAACACACCTACGGTCGAAGAACGAATCCAAAAGGCGCCACGATATATTTTTGAAAAGTTATGATGCAGGGTCTCAAATGTCAGAGCGTCCAAGTCATTGCACGCTAATGAACACAGAAACTATGAAGAAGACGCTGTCACGCGTTCTATTATTGATATGAATCTGAATGCACTACCAATTTTTCAAAAAAACTCTTCACTTAGACGTTGAAGAGACACACTTCTAAATATGTTAGATATACACCCATAGAAAGCTCCCACCGGAACACATGCAAATGATTGTACAGACCTTAAATTTCTGGACACTGTAACGCAAAATCCTAGAGCCCGCTTTCTTCCCAACATCCAAAAGCAATAGTGAGAGCTTAAGACACTAGAAGTTTTTGTTCTCTCACATTTGTTTCTCTTTGCTTGGTTTTGTTGTTCTGTTTGATCCTGTTTCTCAACATTCAACTGTGTTGAGATGAATGTTTTTTGTGGTCTGGTCATTGCAACTTGTTTTTTTATAAAAGAGCTGAGTTGTGGGGAAACTAGAGAGCCTCCATGACTGCCGTCTGCAAGGACGCCTGCGTGGGAGTGGTAGGATAGTCGGAGAAAGTATATAGAATGGTCCCCAAGGGTTATAGTAAACACCATGCATCATGTTACTAAAGACGGGTTAATGCTAAATGCCGTTGTGTCGAAGGAAAAATATAGGTAGAAAGTGGTAGTAGACTAGTGAGGTCAGCAGTGTCTTGAGTACAAGGATGGTAAGCCATGTGAACTGAAAGAGTCGCCTTACTTTCTTTCGAATGGGTCTGCTGAAGAGGATGTGACCATATCACGCAGCAAAAACATTTCGTAGTGCCCTTACTACTGGGGAATGAAGTTTGACTTCATCATGGTACTGGCTCTCTGACGTGCCCTCCTGATGAGGTTTCCTCGTGGTGGCCACCAATTTGCAGGTAATTTTAGTTTGTTTACGTGATTTTACTGGTGGACACTTATGTACACTATAATAAGATCAGCCCTCTTCCAGTGTCTGCTTTAAGTAAATGATTTAGTTGACCCAGTCTGTCAGTGTATGCTACCCCTTAGTCCTAAAACCCATGATCTGGTGGATTTTTGTATTCGCCCAAGCATACTATGGCCTGCCCTGATCGTCACGGTTGCTACCGCATTGAAGGCTTCCAGACGGGGTCGTGCACTATATTTGAAATCTGCTAGGAATAGTTCAGGAATCAGAGCGCTGAGCTGTCTTTGCATGAAGTGTAAACTGGCTTTCTCTCTGTTTGTCATTCCTTTGTAATCAAAGGCCATGTTTAGGGCATCGGAGAAGTTGAGCCCCAGCCCTTTCGCTATGGACGATAGTGGTGGCGCGTTTGCCTAAATGGTATTCAGATTTGGTCGCCGTTGCTTCTTGGGCCCTCGTGTGCATTGCTTTGCACTTTTCTGGACCGGATCTCAAACCTTTATCTGACGACCGGAATTCCAGTCATTGTGAGTAGTCTTGCGACACGCCTCAGTTCGGCTTCTTCACTAACAGCCGTCCAACTTTTAACTTCAGCAGCGAAAAGATGGATATGAGCGTAAATCTTGTGTGGGGGATCGTTGGTGAACACCAAGAACAGAAGTGGCCTCAGTGTTACTCCTCAGGATACCCCGGTACCTATGGCCTCCACTCAGGTCGTATTATGTTCAGTTGTGCGCTGAACTCTCTGCCTTAAAAGTCTGCTTGAGACCGAAAAAGGTAGATGTTCGTCCACGCCTCCTGTTGCGGTCTTGTGGGCTAAGATTCTGCGTGAGACACAATAAAATAGCTTTGCTAAGTACGAAAAGTGAAGTGCACTGGCTTTATGTTGTCGAAGTTAAAGGTTCAATTGCCCCAGGCAAACAACAAGTTTTTAGCACATGGTCGACCACTACAAAAGCCATACTGAACAGTGTGAACGGCTTTTTCCTGTTAAGGAATTCCCAAACCTCATTTGTTGCCAGGCTTTCCACTACTCCGTATGGTATAAGGGATAGGACAATCAGGTTGTACTTCCTAGCTCCTTTTCTGCCTCCTTTCTTGAAAACAAGATGGAGCGATTCCACCCTTTTGGGGTTCTACTTGATTCTAGGGAGTGCATGGTAATGAGGTCACCAAAAACTGAATCCCCCATATCTACCGCCTCAGCTCACTTTGCACCACCACGTTGTCTCTATGGCCCTGATGTGATAACACACAACAGAAAAGACTATGGTCATCCTCCCCCCACGACTATATAAAGTGTGGTTACTACTATAGCAAGAGGCACTAGTTTTATTTAGGTTTCATTTAAATTTGGCAATAACCTTTTGCACACAAGCGAATACCTGATTTCAAACCCTTTATTCTCTCTATTACGTGATGACATCCTGGCTTCAGTTTGGTTTTCTCCACTTTGACATGCACCTTCATCTTCTTCCCCATAAGCTTACTTCCGAACAGCTGGTTTTGGATACTTCACCGAGTGACTTTTATGATAAGTATGATGAACTCACCCATATATATCAAGGTTGGTATACTTCCACGTAGCATTTTTGTGCTCCTATTTCGAATTCTGCATGCTGCTCGCTTTTGTCATTCGGTTCTCGGGTCTGAGTGATTGGTCAATCATCCAAACAGAGTCCCAGTTATCGTGTACTTGTCAGCGCACACCATGATATCACAACTTTATGAGGAATGCACGCAATACAACGTCACGGCTGTACTACCCATCCTACCTTCAAGAATATTCGGTGTTTTAAGCGGTGGCTGAATAAGTCCCAATTTCGAAATTAGATTGCTTCAATCTACAGAACGGCTGTGAGGTCGACCCCACTGCCGGCAAGTTTCACTTCTGACATGAAGTGGTATAGGTATTTTGGTCTACCCCGCAGCCTTTTCACCAAGTTTGATTGGTAGCCAAACACGACGCTGTAGACCCTTATGTGGGATTGGTTACGGCTTTCGACAAAGGGGCATATGGTGAACTCTCCGAACAATTTGTTTTAGACAACCACGAAGTAGCAAACAAAAAGGCAGTGGTAGAAGTATAACGTGTTTACTCCAAGCACTCTAGTGGGCAAGTCCAGCGGGCGAAATTCCACGAATGCATTGAAAGTTATTCATCATTCAGTTGCAGCCAGTGGTGAATACAAAGTTTACAACGGATGGAAATCATAACCAAGTTTACTGGCCACTACATCAGCCTCCCCTAGAAGTGACTTCTAAGAGACTGTCGTTTCGATGCAACCATGAACGAAATGAACAAGGTGGAGAAAAAAAATGGGGAAAGATGGAGAAAATTCCAATACTGTGCATGTAAAGTGCCTCGCCGATCAAATGCATTGGTGATGAATGGAGAAATATTGTACAGAATGTCAATGTAGCACTAGTTTATTAATCAATATTGTCTTCACGATAATACAGCGTATTTCTTGAATCTTCATTTGACCTGGAATATCTGCTACTTGTACTCCATAAAGCATTCTTCATGTTCCTCGTCCGGTAGTGATAGTGGATACTGAAGTGCCTATGTTTCTACAGATCTCGGAAGTTTCTTCAGTAGTAATCTCACACAAACTTTAAAACAGACACCATCTTAGAAACGTAAGTAACTGATACTGAGGACTCACTGTAAGTTCCTGACGTCCGTACGGTGGAATAGCTCACCCACTAGAACATTGCCGCAGTGGATATCCTCTGACGTCGATCATTTCGCTGTTTGAAGTCTGAGCGTTTGTGGGCCCACTGGCACTCAGTCGCGATATTTCATGTTCAGGCTAAAATAATATGGATACTCAAACATAGGCAAAGCGGTTTAAATAGTTAATGTCAGTTTAGTGTTCAAAACGGGGTTTTTGTACGGTAAATATTATAGGCAACACACATTTACTCCAGATAAAAGTGTCACCGTTTTATTAACCTTGTCTTTTCCAACCAGCCAACTTTGTATCAGAGGTCGTGCCCATTTAACTGTTTTAACTGGCTTACGAACCTGTGTATTGTCCGTTATACCGCCCACGATATGTTGTGGAAGTTCCTCTGGGGTGACAGTGGATCGTTGTCTAAGTATGCCGCCTAAAGTGTGTCTATGCCAACGCCGTCTTGAGAGTTACAACCTTGTGTGACGAAATGTTTTAGATGTCGTGAAAAAACTTCAAAGGGTCCTTCATATAGGGGGCTGAAGTGGTTGAATTCTGTCACAACGGACCCATACGTGTGTGCAACTGTCTATATCTTTGGGGATATGGACTGCTCTGGCCTGCTGACGGGTTGCAACTGGCTTTAAGCCAGCCATTTGGTGTCTAAGTTGATCAACATAGGTTGACCAGTCGATTTCGTCGCCTTCAACCTTGGGGTTGATAAAATTGCCGGGAAGTCCTAGGGTGGTACTGAAATCTAATTCCGCCGCCAAGCATTGAGCGTCGGTCTTGATTGCTGTGCGGATACCTAACATTGCTATGGGGGGGGTATTCTGTCCAGTGAGAGGGATCAAAGTGTGACATCGAGGCTGTTTTAAGTTGCCGATGAAATCTTTCTATCACACCGTTTGCTTGTGGGTGGTACGCCGCGCAACGTATTCTGTGGGAACCAGGGAATTGAGCTAAGTCGTCAAAAAGTTCTAATTTAAACTGTGCCCCTCCACCGGTGGTTATCGTTACAGGAACACCAAATATTGACACTCAGTTCTGAAGAAACGCTTTTGCCGCTGTTTCTGCAGTAATGTCAACAAGTGGAGTGGCTATCGGAAACCTTGTGTATCTATCGATACTTGTGAAGAGATACGTGAAACCATTAGAATGAGGTAAAGGACCTACCAAATCCACGTGTACACGGGCAAAAGGTACATCGGGTTGAGAAAACGTTCCCGAAGATGAAACCGTGTACCGGCTTACTTTGGGCCGCTGACGTGCCACACATTCCTTAACCCAATTTCGTACATCGCGTAGTAAATTGGGCCAAATACATCTGCTAGCAATAAGTTTAGTAGGGGCTTTTGCTCCAGTGTGTGACAACGAGTTAAAGTTGTTGAATACTAACTTCCTCATGTTTTTAGGCACACAAGGTCTGGATGAATCTCTTGTCGTGTCACAGTAAGTGAGTCCATTGCCTATAGGTGAAGGTAGCTGCTTAAGTTTCGGGTTACAACTACTACCAGAAAGTAAATTTCTCATTTCCTCATCCGTTTCCTGCTCTGCTGCTAAAGCCTTGAAATCTATGGTAGATTGATGAATAGTGCTCACGTTAATTCGAGACAGAGCGTCCGCAACGCCGTTTTGTGCACCCTTAGCATGCCTTATATTGCTGGTAAATTGCGATATAAAATCCAGGTGATGAATTTCACGTGGCGAGTACTTGTC